AAGGTTTACAACGAGTGATTTTTCTCTTTATGGTGCTGCCCTCCCCAAGAGACTTCTCTGGGGGTAACATTGGTGTTATTAAAATGCATCAGTTCATGTTGTGTGGGGGTGCAGCTTCTGCCTCCCTTACCTTAATTTTATCTACTGTTTGATGATAATTCCTGCATGTCCCCCTACCCCAATGGCAAAGCAACCTGGCAATTCACTGTTCGACCATGTGGAGCTCAGTTAGTTTCTCTTGAGATTTCTGTTGATGGACTTTTGCTGTGACAAAAGATATGTACAGGAACAGCTACTGAAAGGAGAGCATACTTGTGTCTGCTTTGTCCATGCTATTGTCTCAGTGTATGGTCTGTTGCTATTTTACATATTAGACTCTTGCAGCTCTTAAGCAAAGAGCAGTCCTTGACTAAAAGGCTGGTGTCCTAGCACTAGCAACACATTTGGTAGATGGTGTCTGGTACAGATGAAATTGGAGAAGGAGAATGGACCAGACTCCTCCAAAACAGACATGAATATGTATTGAGCCATGATTTATTATTATTTATTATTCATTGTTAGCCATGAACATGTTGGTACAACAAGTTGTGTTGCATTTTCAAAGAATTGTTAATTCAAATGTAGTAATTTGGGGGGCAGCAGTGCTGGATTGCTCTGAAGGGTTCCTGGCTGCTGCCGTTTTTGTTATTTTTTATTTTTTATTTTCTTTTTAGTATGTAATAAAGGAACAATCTTTTTCTGAATTACAGCTTCTAGGTAAGGTGAAGAGCCCTGCATAAATTCCTTTTTCTTCCTTTTATAACTCCCATTTCCTCCTTGCGAGTAAAACATGAGCAGGTATGTGCCCTTATAAATGCAGTGTCTAGACAGGAATGCTTTAACCGTACTCAAAACACCATTGCCAATTTCCATGACAGTTTTTAACTATGAAGTTGAGTTTGTATTCTAGTTCCTGAACTTCAAACTGTTGTTTTCCTTCCCCTTCCTTGTAGACTCTGTTGTCTGAAAGTTTTGTTTTGCTTTTATTTTTCTAAGATGCTCGTTTAATGACAGGCATTCAAGATGTTGGATTGTAGGAAGAATGCAGTGCGTTTAGTTTGTCTTGTGGGATGTGGTTTGCTTTTGGTTTGGGTTTTTTGGTGGTGGTTTGGGGGGGGATTGTTTTTTTGCTTTGTGATTTGGTTTGTTTTTTTACAGTTTGTAGAGCTGGCTATCCTGCTGTGGACATTTTTTAATTGAGCAAAGAAGTCAAAGGAAGGGAGAAGGGGGTCATGCACCAATTTCCTCCCTCACCCTTGCAAGGGAGCTTGGAAAAATACACTTGATTGTAGAACAGTTACCTAGGTGCTTCTTGTCCATCCCTCTTCTCAGGATGTATGGAAGTTGCCTTAGGTTGTAAAGGAGCTTAGGCTTGGTGTTGGTCTCCAGCATGCCTAAATCCACTGCACAGCAGGTGCTGTATTGCCTGGGACTGATTCCTTCTGGTGAAAACTATAGTGCTGGAATAAAAACTTACTGCTCATAACTGAGGTGTGTTGAGAAACACTGAGAGGCAGCACGATGCTTGAAGTGTTAGGGGACCAGCCCTGCTTGAAGGGATTGTAGGTACTTGCAACATCTTCAGGGGAGTGAACTCTTCTCCAGTCCAGCTACCGGTGGTGTGTATTTTTAGCAGAGACAAAGCAAATAATGTGAAGTGCTTGTTGACTTGAATCCATGCATTAAGAATACTTGTTGCTTTACATATTGCAGCAGCATGTGCCTATATGGCTAGCTACAGGAGTGCCTTCCACTTCACTGATTATCATTTGTTCTAGCTACATGTGTATGTACTAACTATAAGATCTTGTGTGCCTTTCTCTTCACCCAAACCCCAGCATCTTTCACCCTACTCTGGGACGTTCCACTGATGGGAAACAGCTCTCAGGTCTTCTTCTGTTTATGGCTGTGACTGTAAACAAAGCTCCTAAAGAGGAAGAAGGTGTAGTATCATTGTAGCGTTGGGTTACAGTTATAAGAAATGGTGTAGCCTCATTATGCTCTGGTCTATGTGAAAGATCGCTGTATATGAGCAGGATCTTCATCTCCCTATCCTTCTGGGGTTTGCCTTTGCCCTTAGCTTACTGCTTTATGTGGTAAAGTGAAGGCTCCTGAGGTGGAAATGGTCAAATGCAGTTCCTGCCACATAAGTACAGGGAGCTAGGGTGACTTGCAGGGATGCAGGAGCCTGAACTGCTGCACTGTGAAGGTCTGAGGTGAGTTGGGTGATTGTGGCAGCAACAGATGTGTTACCAGCTTTGTTGATGAAAACCATGTGTTTAGGGTGGTCTGATGCACTGAGACTAGGTGTGGAAGTAATTTGAACAGAGGTTGGTTGTATCAGAAAATCAGTATAGAAAGATTGTTGTTAATCTAAAGCTGATGGAATAGTGATCTGCCTGACCTGTGGCAGTCATGAGGAGCCCATCTACTGCAGCTCATTTGAGGTGGAGTGTTTCAGTGGGATACAATCATGGCACATTTACTGTTGCTTTCTCCTGTGGATCCTGCTAGACTGCTCTTTATCTCCCCCAGTCCTCAGACTTACAAATTTGCCAACTACCTCCTCCATTCCAGAGATACCTGGGGAGAGACTGGAACTTGCTTGCTCTCTTCTTTCTACCAGCACAGCGGCACTCAAAATGGTAGTCTAGAAAGCCATGGTGGGTGGCTGTTCTTTTCAAGTTTGCAGTTAATATCTTTTTGGAGTTTCATGGCTTTAGCATTTGAATGTTACAAGTCTCGGCATTAACCTTGTCCGTATCTGTAGAGTGGGTCTGAAACCTCTTCTGTTAGTGTGCACAGTCCTAGGAGGGTGCTATGTTAAACTTCAGTGAAGAACGTAAAGCTGTCACCAGAACTTGCTCAGCTCTTTCTGGTTGAGTTTGCAGGGCTCAGTGAGGTTTCCTGTGTGGAGTCTGAAGTTTAAAATCCCCAAATCCTGTTTTTTTATGAAGAACTGAGAGTGCTTTCTCTTTGTTCAGACGCTGAGCAGAAAGTGACTGATTGTAAGGTTTGCCTGGAACAGAATCTGCAATGAGCTGACCTTGCAGCTATCTCTGTCCCTCTTCAAATGGTTTCCTCTGGTTTTAGAGCCTACCTTTCTGTTGGGTATTGCATGTATACAATTTAAATAAGAAATAAGTAGAAATGCGATATGTGATGTGTTGCATAATTGGATATTGCATTTGGTTTTGTATAAAACATTACAACTAAACTTCTTGGAGCTTCAGCTTCCCTCTAGGGAAGCCAGCCTCTGAGACAGCTGGAAACCCCCTTCCCTATCCTGGAGAAGGTGAGTTTCTCTGGTGGTCTGCAGGGGGGGAACCGGTGGCGAGAGCAGCACCTCATGTTCTGCTCTGATGAAGAACAGTTGAGTAGATGATGGCTGTTAACAGGAATCGCTGAGTAACATAGAATATGTGGGATATAAGCTTGTGAGGTTGTTTTCTTCCTGTTTACAGATTACTTGCAGCTTCTACATGGTTACCTTCCTTCTCCTTCCTCTTTGGCAGATAAACAGTGCTGCTTGGTGCTTTCCTAATGGTGCCTTCCCAGGCTGAAGCTAAGTGTGGCTCTTCAAAACCTTCACTCTGCTCTTTGACAGGCTGGTCCAAGAGGAGAAGGAACTAAGGGTGACATAGGGAAACTGTGGTAGAGTTGGGCTTCCTGCCCTTAACCCACATTTCTGCTGTTGGTTTCAGCCTCCTGCAAGCTTGAGATGACTTTCGAGGAAGACCTGGCTGTGCTTCTCCCTGCTGAAGAACATGGCTATGCCTGACAAGGTTTTGGCATCAAGTTTTTGTGGTAGGAAGCTAAAGTTTGCATCCAAAAATAATCCCCAAGAAGTCAGGAGAACGTTGCAGCAAGGAAACTTCTCAAATTTGTCAAGTAAATATTTTTTTAAGTATCGGTTGTATGAAATGCTTGTTTTGAGTTGACAGCTGGCACTGTGTGTAAAGCCGTGGTATCAGGCGTTTTATGGAAAATGGTCACTTTTTGTTATGGTATTTCAAAATCAGCACCTTTCTGGACATGTTTGGCAAAGATTTTTGTGTTTAAAGTGTGTGTTGTTTCAGTTTGCAGTGAGAGCAGGTGTCAGCCTCATCTCATGTAGCAAAAAAAAAAAAAAATCCCACTTTTGGTTCTAAAGCGTCACTCTAATTCTGTGTCCCAGATGTGTTGTGTTGTTTTTTGGTTTTTTTTCAATAAAAAATCTCCTTGGAAAGAGGGGAAATCATAGCGAGGTTTTATTTATTCCTTAAAGCATGACAAGGGAGAGGAACAGAGAAGGAAAAGTGTCATTCCCATCTTCATCACTTTCCCTTTGTTTTTTCCCTGATTTTGTCTCTTGGACAAAAGACAGCTTCTTCCTATGTGAACAAGACATTGGGCAGTGCTATTCCCAGGGCCAATCCTGGGCTGAATTCCTGGCCATGAAACCTGTTTTGGTGAGACAGAAGTGGTACAGTGGTCTGTGGGTATGGTACTCGTGAGAGCACAGAACGCCCATAGGGCTTGTGTCCAAATCCATGGCTGGCATCTCTGCATGCAGAGCACCATTCCCACAGGTTGTCTGGGCAGATGGGAGGGGACCAAAGAGCACCTTACCTTGAAGCAGGATTATTCCCCTCCCTGTGTGTTAGACTTGGCTGGAAAAAGAGGGAGGACAGAAAGGTAAGGTTAGGACGTGAGCTGAAGGGAAGTGCAGAGCAGGTCCTGGTTTTTCTGTCCTTTCTACAACTTCAGTTGTCTTAGGAGAATGGCAAGGTTTTTCCTTCTCGTGGTGCTGTTGCTGGTAAATGGCTGCTGTGGGCATCGCTGTCTTTTGCTAGGAATCTGTAAAATCTTTGCCATCTGCTCCCTCCCCTTGAAACCCAGCCCCCAGACCAGACTTCCCATAGATTGCTGATGTGAAAAAAAGGCATAGGAGGTGGAATGGGGGAGAGCTTCCTTTATTATTATTAGAAATAGAAAAAACAATGTCTCTAGCCGTTTTTCCGGGGAGAAGTGGCAGTGGTTACCACATGTCCACTAGTAGGTTTTGCCTTATCTCAAGAATGTACTACCTTGTGTCTTCTAAGTCCTTTTTTCCTTGAAACATGATGCAAATGTGGATAGAAATGTAGTCGGCAGACAAACTCCTCGCCTCTGTAGCAGGTTTGAGTATCGCAGTTTGCATTCTTGAGCAGTGGATGGCAGGTGATGCTGGGGTTCACATCCTGGGTGCTCGTTCTCATTCGCTGCCCCATATATGCAGCAGCTCCTGGGGCTGCTGGCACCTCTTCTAACAGTGTAATACCTGCACAGCATCTCTGTGCACACATGATGCTGTGTTACTCGACAAGTCCCATGTGCCCACACTGTGTCAGTTGTGGTACACAGGCAGAGGTCTGTTCTGTGGTGCAAATGGCAGCCGAGCTGTCCTGAAGCTCCTTGGCCAGGCTCTGCATGTGCTGCCTGGAGCGTGCTCCTCTATTTCCACCCAGGAAATCCTGGACAGAAATAAGAGTGTCATTGCTTTCTAAATGCAATGATGGCATTTAGGCTAGCACTTTGGGTGCTGCTGTAGGTCTAATACACCTGATGTGAATTTCTGTTGCAGGGGAGAAGGGATGAAAACCTTCAAGTTTTGGTGCTTGCTTTTTTGTTTGGTTGGGTTTTGGTTGTTTTGGGGCTTTTGTCTTTGTTTTGGTTTTAATTTTTTTTTTTTTAATCCCTTCAGATGTGCTGGGTCATAGAAATCGCAGAGCGGTTTGGGTTGGAATGGACCTTAAAGCTCATCCAGTTCTAACCCCCTGCCATGGACAGGCAGGGACAGCTTGCACTAGACCAGGTTGCTCAAAGCCCTGTCCAGCCTGGCCTTGAACACTGCCAGGGATGGGGCAGCCACAGCTTCCAGATAAATTCATTTTTTCATCTTGACTGGCTCTCTTTGCACACTTGTCGCTGCCTCCTGCAAGTCTAAGACTGTCTCTGTAGAAATAGGAGGATATGGTGAGTTCTGAACAGCAAAAATTCCCCACTTTTAAATCTCAGCCTACATTCAAGTGCAGTGAATTGTAAATGCTTCCAATTATGCAATGACATAGATTCCTTGTTGCTGGTAACTGGCTGTCTTCACTTCCAGCCTTTGAAAGAGCAGGAAACAGAAAATCAGGCCCTTGTGTTTAAAACCTGAAAGTCCGCACATGCTCAGCCTGTGGGTTAAGCTGGAGCTGCTCAGGCTTGGCTTTATACATCTCACATCTTAATGATGAATTAAGAAGCTTGTCCCAGGCACTCTTGTTTGAGATGTGCATTTCTGGACATGTGGGATTATATCAAAAAAGCCTTTCAACATAACACATCAAATTTTGTCCATTTGAAAATCCAGGTGCAGGAACTGGCTCTTACGAGATTTTTCCCTGAGCTCTGCAGAGTTCCAAGGAATCTATGGTGTTAAAAGAAAAAAGGAAACTGAAAAAAAGGTCAAACAGCAGTTTAAATTTTTAAACTGGCCTCCCGAACTTGTTGAAGAGCTGGTGTTCCTCAAGGCTTCTGTGGTAGAGGGGCAGCAGGTCCCTGGGCCCGTGGGACTGGCTGGGCAGGATGTGCGGCAGGATGCTGTGGTGCGGCTGGCTGGGCAGGGCGCTGCTGGGTGTCACCAGCCGGGGCAAGACCTGCGCTGTGGGGTGCCAGCTCTGCAGGGGCAGCTTCAACAGGCTTTCAGGGCTGCTGGCAAAGGCAAGAGGGAGAGGTGAAAGGGGGCTGCAGCATTGCAGGGAGCCCGCAGCCCACCCATGCGATGCTGAGGCAGGGCAAAGGGGAACTGTGGTCCTCTGGTTCAACTGCCCCCTTGAAAAGAGCATATGCAAGGGTTTCATTGCTGTTAGGCGCTAGGTGGGGAGCACATAAGAGGGTAAGGCAGGGGAGTGAGTGACTGCCCAAGCGATGTGGGCTTTTACATCTGGCCTCTCCTGCCTCCAGGGAGACTGGGAGCAGCCCTTGGCCCCTGTGTGAGGAGTTGGGGGGCAGTACCAGCACCAGGGTCTGAGCAGTACCTTTGGAAAGCCAGGTTATTGCAGCCTGCCAGTGCCCCTGGGAACACAGAGCTGGAAAGGGCTGAAAGGTGGTAATCGCGCCGGTGATAGTGTTTCAGTCTCTCAAAAGCCTTCCTTGTCCTGTCAGGAGTGGAGTGGTCATGTCTCCATCCTCCTCTGGCTTTCCTCCTTTGCTGCTGCTGCCTGCAAGGTAGAGAGAGAGAGATGCAGATGCTTTCTTTGCTCACTGGGGGCTGGTTGTTTTCATTTACACCTCCAGACAGATTTGGCATGTTTGCATCCTAAACCCAAGTTGTTATCCTATGATTTTGTCCTCCTTCCTCTGCTCCCAGAGGAAAGCACCAAAACTGTTTTAGCCCTGCAAAAAAGGGGTACTGGTGCAGACTGGGGAAGAGCAGGACAGTGGGGGGAGGTCTGGCTGGTGCTTGCTGGGAGATTGAGACATTGTCTCTTGCAGGGTTTTTTACCCATTGTTCTTTTGCACTTATAGTAAGGAGTTAGGCTCTGTTAAAGCCACATCCCCAGGTAGGCTCCTGCATGGTAACTTTTGCTGTCATCACTTGTTCAGGACACCATCATTGGCAAAAACAAGGGGTCCCCCTGGACCTTAGGATGGGAAAGAAGGGCAGTGCTGCTGCTCTGTAAGAATGGTCCTGACTGGTGGCCCTGCTCCCCACCTGCTTCTCTCCCAGTGCTTACCAGGGGAGGATGCTCCTTTTTTAGAATCATAGAATAGTTAGGGTTGGAAAGGACCTTAAGATCATCAGGTTCCAACCCCTCTGCCATGGGCGGGGACACCTCACACTAAACCATGTCACCCAAGGCTCTGTCCAACCTGGCCTTGAACACTGCCAGGGATGGAGCATTCACAACTTCCCTGGGCAACCCATTCCAGTGCCTCACCACCCTCACAGTAAAGAACTTCCTCCTTATATCCAATCTAAACTTCCCCTGTTTAAGTTTTAACCCATCACCCCTTGTCCTGTCACTACAGTCTCTAATGAAGAGTCCCTCCCCAGCATCCTTACAAGCCCCCTTTGGATACTGGAAGGCTGCTATGAGGTCTCCACGCAGCCTTCTCTTCTCCAGGCTGAAAAGCCCCAACTTTCTCAGCCTATCTTCATACGGGAGGTGCTCCAGTCCCCTGATCATCCTCATGGCCCTTCTCTGGACTTGTTCCAACAGTTCCATGAGCTTTTTATGGTGAGGACACCAGAACTGCACACAGCATCTGCCTACCTTGTGTTGTACACACAACGTGGCAGGGCTGTTCCCACTCACTATCCTTTCTGTCTGTTCCCTTCCTCTGTTCTGGAGAGCTTTTTGTCAATCACCAAGCTAACGGCATCCCTTGCAGGACACCTCTCTGCAATCACCCACCACATCCCTCATCCCTGGGGCCACTATCGCTTCCAAGACCCAGCTTCCCCATCAGCGCCAAACGCGCCATTGCTTTGGAGCCATGACTGTGCCAAACTGCGTCTGGTTTTGGATGTGACACCCCCCCCCCCGTTGCCCTGCCTCCGTACTCACCCCGCACACCTCCTCCTCGCCCTGTCGCGCCAGCAGCAGACGGCGAAGGAGATGGACAGCACCAGGATAACAGCTCCACTGAGCAGCGATGCGGCCACCGCAGCGCGGGAGCCAGTGCCTGGGGGCTTCGGGGCGGCTGCAGGGAGAGATCAGGATGGGCCCATGGGAGCAGGGCCGAAGCAGGCATTGTGCATCCACCCGCACCGGCCCTGCTCCCCCTTATAATTACACTTCAGGGCATTGTTTTTAGGAAGAAGCATGTAAAGACAGCTCCATAAACACAAAAGTTAATGGGGTGAGTGTGTGTGTGGGGGGGGGATCCCCAAAATCACATTAAGAGTTAATATTTTCTTCGGGTAATTGAGGTGAAATAGTCACATCGGAGGGAAAATGTGAAATGCTGGATGCAGCTTGGGTGAAGCGCAAACGGGGGAGGAATGAAGCACGATGAAAAGGAAATGGTGGTAGCCTTGCTGTTGGTTGTTTTTTTAATGGAATGTGTATTTTTGGTTGTCTGTTGCATGGGGATTGGGATAGGGAAAAAGTTGAAAGAGAGAAATAAAATGGAGAAGGGGAAGAGTGTGGGAAAGGGGAAAAAAGGGGAGAAGTGGAAAAGGGGGAAAAGGAAAAAAAGGAGAATAAGAGTGGGAAAGGGGGAAAAGTGGGGAAAAGAGTAAAAAGAGTGGAAAAGGGGGGAGAAGTGGAAAAGTGAAGAAAAGTGAAGAAAAAAAAAGATAAGCAAAAAGTTAAAAGGGAACAAAAGTGGAAAGAGGGGGAAAAAAGGGGAAAAGTATTAAGGAAACATGAGTATTTAAGAGAAAAATGGGCTTGTGAAGTTTAAAAAAAGTTGATAAATTGAAAACTTTGGTGAGTGTAATCATAGAATCATAGAAATGTTTGGGTTGGAAGGGATCTAGAAGTTTATCCAGTTCCCATCCCCTGCCACAGGGGACACCTTCCACTAGACCAGGTTGCCCCAAGCGCCGTCCAACCTGGCCTTGAACACTGCCAGGGATGGGGCAGCCACAGCTTCTCTGGGCAGCCTGTGCCAGAATTTTCTTGGATGGTGTATGGGCCATCCAAGTGTGTGACCCGTACCTGCCGTAAGACCAGTGTTGGAAAGAGCAGATGAATTACATCCTGATCAAACCATAAAGGAAGCCTAAATGGTGTTTGCATTGCCAATGTCTGAACTAAGAAAGTGGCTCCCATCCCAAGAGCAAAATAATATGAAAGAGTTCACTAATGTCTGCAAAAATTGCATGTTTTGGTTTTCAAAGTAAAAAAAATACATGAACAATCCCCAGCCTTACAATCCTTGCAAAATAACCAAACTAAGACATCTGAAACTATGGAGATTTGCTTTTTGTTTTAAGGAGAAAAAGCATATAGGGATTTTCCCCTTAAAGCTGTCTTAAAAACCTTCTATTCTGGGGAGCCCAGGGTGTGATTTAATGTTTGGAGGATTTTTTGGTTCCCCCAAGTTGTTTCTGCATTCAGTAGTGCACAAACTGCAGCCTCTGTTTAGGGCTCAGAAGGCAAATACTGCTGCTGAGCATTAGGAGTGTTTCACTGCAGAAGCATCTGTAACTCATTGCAACAAAGTTCATTGCTTTTATTTTGCAATGCTTACTTTTATGAACGACAGACAGTGACTGATAGCGTATCAGCAAGTTTTACAGCTCTGAATTGAGATGAATTGCTTTATTTCTGTTCTCATCTTTAAAGGGCGAGCTGCCTGGAGTGCTTCTGAGCTGAAGCACCTGTGCCGTTGTCCTATGGTTGAAGCACTTTGGCTTCTAATTTTGAGATGCTACCTGTTTAAAATGGATTTGCATGTTTTGAGCAAATGATAGAGATGATATTTCTTGAGCAAGTGAGAGAGAAGCAGCAAAAGGCAGACTTTTTCCATTTCCAACTCTTTAGCCGGCTCTTGCACCACAGGTTTGCCTGTCAGCTGTTCCTGAAAGAGTCCCAGGTCTGATTCCCAGCATGAGCAATACAATTCACGCATAAACTATGTAGCATTTACAACTGAGGTGTTTTTGCTTGTGCTGCAAAAATATATACCTTTCTTGGGGGCAGTTTTCCTGAAGTTATTTAATGTGTGCACACAGTACGTGGTGTGTGAGAGAAAGCTTTTAAAGCAATAAGCTTTGTTCCGTCAATGTTAAGCCGTTTGTTCTCAATGAGCTGGTACCACAACAAATGTGGGGGCCATTTGCAACCGAGATTTGTTCTGCATGTGCTTTCGTAAACAGGATGTGCTGGGTTAATTCAAAGTCCAGCTTTCCTCCTATTGAAAATTTTATCTGTGCCCTGTAGTCCCTATGCCTGGCACCCGGAGTCAGATATCAGCTGGTACCAGGTACCAGCTCAGTGCTGCCTGTACCAGTTACTGGGAATGAGAGGAAGCCTGATCGTTTGCTGTGCTGTTGTTGCCTGGGGAATTCAGGCAACCCCTCAGCTTATGCAGCTCATGAAGCGCTACTGCAGGGACCCTGCTGAATCACATCACCTGTGCTGACAACCGCTTAACGGGACAAGCTGGACCTCTGCTGTCCCCTTCAGGGTGGCAGGAGCACCCCAGCTTGTCCCCCTGCCCTCACTGGCTTGGCCAGAGCGAGGACACCCTTGTGTGAGGTCCTGTGCCTCCCCTCCAGCGTTAGTGATGGGGTGATGATCACCTGCCCCCCCCCCGAGACCCTGTGAGCAGCTCCTTACCCTGACAGCGGGGCGGAGGGTGGCTCCAGGAAGAAGCGCTGTCCCGGCGGAGGCAGGACAGCCTCTGGCTGCCCACCAGCTGGTACCCATCCTGGCACCAGTACACGAGCACCGAGCCCAGGGAGACGCCCGAGCCTCTGTCCACGGAGTAGAATCCATAGCGTGGTGGAACGAGTGCTGTGCATGGTGCTGGGGAGAAGGGAGGACGTTAAGTGCAGGTGATGACAAAGCCCCTGCTGGTGATGCTCCTGAAAATGCTTCCGTACCCTGTGTCACTCCTGCAGGTCCTGCAAGTCTCTAATTTATTTATTATGTGTGTGTGTAATCCTAAAGGAAAGATGTAGGGAAGTCTGGTGGCTTTATCTGAAAAACAAGTCTTCTAGTTGCAAACTCTGCAATGTGAGCAGCTACTGAACAGATGTGGGACTGGAAAGGTACAGGATGGGGAGAGTGTGCAGAGAGCAACTCTTAGGAGGGAAAGGAAGAGGACAGGCAATTTTTAAATACCCCAGTATTCTGGGAGAATATTGTTGGCTGGAACTCAAAGCAATGAAATACTGTTCTATGCTGTAGGAAGATACTTTTTCCAACCCAGCCTTTATATTTTTCCTAATTTGTTGCCCACAGCTATTCAGAGCTACTCAGTTATCCTGCTTAGATCATCCTTTTTGCATGGCACCCTTTGTATCTTTAGTGCTGTTTGTTTCTCCTAGTATCTGTCAAGAGCCAGGGGTGAGACAGACTCCAAAAGAGATGCCAATCTGACTGTGTGCGTGCAGAAAATCCCTGGATATACTAACAGATACCAAGAAAATGTGGGTGAGTACATTCTCCTGTAACAGGTATCACAGTGCCAATAACCTGAATTAAAGGAAAATACTCTGATTAGCTCTAGTTAAGATAAGCTTAGAACTTGCAGGCAGAAATGTGCTTTATCTAGCATAGAGGGAACTTCTGAGGGAAATTCTGAGTGCAGCAGTAAAGCTAATGTGTGAGAGAGGTTTGGTCTGCCTCTGTGTTTGTTGAGTCAATGTAGGCTTCTCTTCCAGAGGGGCTGACAAGAAACAGACCAGGTTGAGCAAGATCAGACTTTCTCTAGGTTAGCAATGCTGTTAACAGGTAGTGGAGATGTCTATATGAGTAAATTCAGCAGTGCCAGGGAGGCTGCCCAGATGCCTGGACTGGATTTGTTGCACAGTTAAACTGTCTGACACTGGATAGCACCTTGCCCAACAATTCCTTGCTGTTGTTTAGACATAGGGTGGTCCAGGGACTGTTCCCACCAAGCATTTTGGAAATTACATGTAGTTCATAAAGATGTAGGAAGGTGAAGGGTTCAGTAGTATGGCATGGGCTGCTCTGTGCCTCTGCCTGCACTGGGCAGGTGCTCATTCCACAGCAGCCCCAGTGCCATGTCCCACTTGCTGGGAAGCAGTGTGGGCTCTGCTCTAGCAAGTGGATTAAGAAAAAATAATCACCCCAAGCACTTGGAGATCATCTGTGCTTCTAAAGAATGTCCATCCTCATTTCAACCCGGGGTCTCAGCTCATCTTTTGGGGACAAGGATGTGTTCAGCGTGCCCATGCCCTGGGCAGGGAGCTGGTCCATCATGATATTGTATAGAGGTTAACATGGAGGAGGAATTTACTCTCCAAGGAAGACAGTCGAGTTAAATTTTCTCCCTGTGCCCAGCGACTTTTCCTCTGACATGATACACCTCTCACAGACTACAGAAGCTGCTGTGGCCATGGGGACCACACAAAGCCCTGCAGCCGCCTCAGTGTGCCTCCCTCCGTGCCCACCAGAAGAAGCACCACAATGCTATCATCAATGCATCCCCCGCCTTTCACCCTGTCTGCCTGCACAGTGAGGCAGCCTGGCAGAGGGAGAGATGGGTAATCACTCACTCGAGTACCTGAGATGTTGTTGTGCAAGTAGGTCCCATTGGCAGTGTCTCGGGGCAGCCCCTTTCTGACGTGTCCTTCCCTGGGTGAGGCAGTCCCGGGCCCAGCAGCATCACTCCAGGCAAAGCCCAGGCAGCTCCAGGGCAGCAGGCAAAGGGCGATGCATTTTCTGAGCCTTTGTCCCATCATGATTTGAGGAAATGCAGCATCATCGGGTGCCCGGCCGTCCAGAGTGCCTGCAGTTTCCCCTTTGCTTCTGAGCAGGAGTCAGCAGGGCTCTTAGGGCATTAAGCCTTGAGTGGCAAAGCTAGCAGCTGCCTTTCCCCCAGGGCTTGCTTCTTCTCTGTGTCGGCACTAACCCCACATCCCTTCTCCTGGCACTGCCAGCCCTGCTCTGGCTGCTTGGCTGAGAAGCTCTGCAGGGAAACCAGGCATGGGAAGGCGAGTGAGAAGCAGCAAGTGCTTGGAATTCACCTTTTACAGATCCCTCCTGCAGGGACTGGCTTTCACCATCTCCCCGGCTGCTGCAGCTTCAAACTAGGCACCCTGCTCCTCCCTTATCTGCCAAAATACACATTCATGCTCGCTGCTGAGACCCTCTCATGCTCGTCTTCCCTCCTGCCAGAGCCTAGGGCTGGTTTTCTGTAAACAGCAGTGGAGTGGGATAAAAGCCGTAGGAATCAAAAAGGTTTCATAGCAGCAACTCTGCCAGCTTTGCCACCGTGGGAACCGCAGAGAAATCTGTTTTCTTTTTCCTTGGGGGTTCCCTCTGTCCAGCATCTCTCTGCTTGTCTCTTCAGGCCCTGATGGTTTATAATGTCTTATAGATAGAGGTGCTGTGGTAGCGACCACCTCTTGCCTCCTGGGCTGTAGATTGCTCTTACCTGCACCTATCTGCCTAGCCCCTGTGTGCACCCAGGAAGAGGCAAGGTGCCCTACGTTGCCCAAGCCCTTGAGACCAAGATGCTTTGGAGCAGGCAGTGCCTCTGTGCTGAAGCCAATGGCCAGTCCACTGCCTGCATAATGAGCAGTGCTTTGTGGTGGTTCTTGGAGCATCCCCTCCTAAGGCTATCCTCTCCCCTCCTTGCACCCCCGGGAGCTCCCTTTACCCCTCTTGAAAAGCCAGAGGCAGCTCAGCAGTGCTTCAGCCCTCCTTGCACTTGCAGAGACGTTTTTTGTTGCCTTCATGGGCCTTTGGACCTGAGAATGCCTTAATTCTCTCTCTCTGTCTGTCTGCCTCTCAGACACTCCCTTTCGGTTTTGGCTGTGCTGGTACCTCTCTGGGCTTCTCTCCAGGGGATTTACTTGTTTTCCCAGGAAAATCTGTTTCAACCTCCCATAACTCAGAACAATCTTGCTCAGAAATTACTTTAATTTCTTCTCTTCTCTGGGTAATCCTTAAACAGTGAGATTTCCTTGGCTTCCCTTGGAGAGTGGGCCAAGGAGGGAGGGTCCTCCCCAGCTCTGTGAATATTGCTGTTGTTTTTCCCTTCCCCTTCTGACTGCAGGGATTTTGTTGTTTGTGGAATGAAGGTAAGCTCTGAGGCAGGCTGAGCTGTGTGCGAGTGTGACCCTGACAGCCAAGGAGCTGGCCTTGGGGCATGCCCTGGCTGCAAATACAGCCATCTCCTGGCAGTGAGGAGCTGGGGTGCAGGCAACCCTATGGGCACTGAGGATGCACCCATCTGGTCACATGGGACCAACCCTGAACTGGCTCCTCTGCTGAGATGAGACTGGTGCCCATATAACTCCTGCTGGGTTTTAGAGCTGGCCTTACCACTGCTGGTGGCTGGAGGACAGTGAGAAGAGCCAAAGGCAGTGCCCTGTCCCCCTCCCCACTTCTGCATGTGTCTCGATGCTAAATAGGTGTGGACCAAGCACATGCTGCAAGCATGGCCTTCAGCACAGGGCCAGTGGTGGTTAAGTCTTGTCATATGTGCCGGGAAATGAACGGGATCAGCAAAACCCTGGGGACACAATAACTGTGCTTGAGCTTGTGCTCAAAATGCTGAGTAGATGACATGGATTATTCATTTGCTAATGCTCTTAAGAGATTTTCCTGGGGCTGAAGGAGACAAAGGGGCTTATTATTGCATAATCAATATCCTGCTAGGGTGGGATTTCAGCTCTGTTTCCCGCTCCCTGCCTTCTGGTGGTGGCTGTCTGTGCAGACCTGAGGAGCCAGGCACTGAGCTGTGTGTGCAAGGAGTGACTGTGGGCTCAGGAAAGAAGCAGTCCATATCCCAGCTCAACAAGCCCTTTCCTTGCAGGGAAGGCAAGGGGGAAGGGGTAGCTAGCAGGGGAGTTGGTGTGGCCAAGGGGCTGGAGCTATCCCAGCTCCAGGATCTTGGCTGGCAGTTTCCACTTTCCCAGCACATCACCTGTGCGTACCTTGTCCAGACCCCTGTGCCCTGCTTCCCCTCATGATGGTGTGCCTGGCCAGAGAAGGCAGTATCCCCCTTCCTCTGGCACAGGCAGCCAAACAGAGGTGTATGGACATAAACATGGGACCATGGCACCATCAAGATCCCTCCTTAAACCCCTTGTAGGTGTTTTTTTTCCATCCTGGCCAGGCCTACACCCTCATACCATTCTCCTGGTTTTGGCACAGCCCTTGTCAGATCTGCAGTTTTGTGCAGCTTTGACACCAAAAGCACAAGCCCCAAAAAACCAAGCACTTGCATCGTGTGATGTGAGGTTGTCTGCAGGAGAGTCCCTGGAGGAGCACAGATAGATGAAATGCAAGCGTAATCAGAGAAGGCTGCATGGCGTCCTGCCTTGTGGGATTTTGATCACAGTGTGCCCCATGGTGTGGCCTGTGGAGGGGCTGGGCATCATGGGCAGGTTCAGCCCTGCATGGAGAAGCACTCATTCCCTGGGACTGACATGCTCACCTGGCAGCAGTGGGATCCTGGACCTGTACTCGGGGCGGGGAGCTGTGGTGAGATTGGATGAGCAGACAAGAGGAAAGAAGAAGGGACTGGGTCAGGGGACACTTGCTGGGAGAGCTGGGTGACTGCAGGAGTCTTGCCAGAAAAGAGCTGGGGAAGCTTGTGCTGCAGCCAGCTGAGTGGGTGTTGATGTCTGACTGCAGCCTATGCAATTTCCCTGGGACACTTGCTGTTGCATACGTGGGGAACTGCCAACCAGAATGTAGATGTATGCCTCAGTGCCTCATCTGCCTTTTATATCTCAGGTCCTTTGGAGGAGAAAAGGCAACCAAGAGATGTGGGAGGGGTAGGTGAAGTACATGGGTAATTCTCCATCCAGAACTCTGTACTCAGTTTCTTTCTGTGCCGTAGAGATCCTGGTAAAAAAAAAAAACAGAAAGCAAGCATCCCTGACTGTTTAAGGGGATTTACTTTGGTCATGTTTATTCCTGTGTTGCATTTTAATCACGCATTCTTGCAGGTAGACTTTGTTGTATGCCTCAAGTCCATTGTAGTGTGTTGCATTGGTTGCACTTAAATAAGGAGATCCTGTTTCTCATGGGAAGTAGTGTTTTCACAGGCCAAGACTAAAAGCACTGGGCTCACCTAGGTCGGCTTGTGAACAGTGCAGAACTCTGCAGAAGCCAAATCTCCACTACTGAATGTGCAAGTCCTAATTTCAAGTCAGTGACCATGGATGATCCTCTCTACTTGCAGAAGGTTCTGCAGACAGAAGAACATAGAGTTACAGAAGAACAATGAGTACAAATTACTCATTGCGAGTCACTTGCTTAGCTCTCTTGCTAGTCCATCCTTCATGCAAGGCAACCAGGGCTAGCTCTGTGGAAACCAAATAGCTCTCCAGAAAGCTGATTCCAGGGTGTTTAGGTGCAAGGTCTTCGTGTCATGCTGTTTCTATACCACATACGTACACGCTACATAACCCTGGGTTCCCTCTAAACCCACCTTTCCGCAGCTCCAGTAACTGGGGCTTGGTGCCACAGGTTTGCAAGAGCACTGCGGATAGACCTGACCTCCCAGCAAGCGACTCACCAAGTCTGCACCTCCCTGGGTTATGTGTGCACAGCCCCCCATGAAAGGACTCCTCTCACTCAACTTTAGAAATCTTCATCTGTGCCAGTCACTTTTGGTTGTTTCATCATTCGGGTAAGAATAAGGGCTTGCTTTATCCAGCCCATGTGGGACTCCTATTTCAAGATGCGCTGGAATTTTTAAGAGGTGCCCCCTGACTGCAAAGGCAGCTCATGTAGCAGTGCCTGCACTGCAGATGGGTAAAGTTGCTGGGAGGACCCTCAGACACCGACCTTGCCTGTATCCACTGGCAGCGGATGAATCTGCCAGCATGTGCAGATTTGTCACTGCGCAGATTTCTGGGGGATTGCGCTTGGCAGGCCCTTGCCACACTTATATCAACCCAGTAGGGCCTTGGAAGTTGGTGTGCTGGTGTCATTCCAACTGTGATTAGGTGGGGACACCTAAGGAGTGCAAGAAGCTCTGTGGTCCTGAAGGCATGACCAGGGACAGTTCAGGTTTGCATGTCAGGGTGGCATTATAAGTTGATCCATTGTGAAAGACACCCTTGGAAAGGCTTTGAGTTTCAGCGTAAGAGAGAAAATGACCCCAAAAGGAGAGGCAGCATACAGATGGACCAAGCTCCCCTTGCGGTTACAGGAGCCTTAGGATCGAGTCTGAAGATTTTAACTTGCTCACTCATGTCCCCAGCCTTTTCTGTGATAGCTGCTATTCACACTTAGTTGGTTGCTTCTGCCCCCAGGGGCATAAACTGAGACAGCCTCTACAGACATGAGCTGGCTACATAGCTTGACTGATAGCAGGAGATATGCCAGACACAGGAGTCTAAAGAGAATCTGTACTGGGTATATGTGTGTGTATGTTTTCTTTCCTAACACATCATGAATGACTTGGACAGGTGGATACCTGCCCATTTATTCCTAAAAGCCATTCATGCAATGATTAAGCTGTCATAAATAACCAGTAAATGACAATATTGCCACTTAAGCATGCATTTTGCTAACTGAATAATTCCTTCCCCTGAAAAATCTCATAGTTTAGTTATTTATTGCTAATCCTCTTATATATGCACAAATATATGCATGTACATATGCATATGATGTACACATGCATATCGTGTACACAGATATTTGCATGCACGCAGAGACTTCCTACTTGCTTTGCTTATTTCCAAAGGCAGGGTATTCCAGACAGGGGCATTTCATGTGGACTCCATAAACTTCTACTTTGACATGTACATTGTGCTATTTCATAACCTCCTTCTAGATTCCAGATTACAGCATTAACCTTTTGTTGGCCAGAGGCTGGTGCTGTTAAACTCTTCATTCCTAACAGGCGTACTCTGATGCCCAGGCTTTTGGATACGTAGGACTTATTTCCTGTGTTTTTCATGAAAACCCGCAGTGTCTTGGTACTCTTAAAGTGGATTTTTTGCACCACAGACTTTCCCAGAATGGAAAAATTACTTTTACCCAGCTTTTTTTTGAGGAAAGGAATTATCGTTATTACTGGCTTCTTTTTGGTTTGGGTTTTGGTTTTTTTTTTTTTTAGTTTTTGATCTGGTTTGTCTTCTTATCTTCCTGTTCACTTAATGCTCTGGGCAATTGCACATGCTTTTCTAGATGACACAGGCATTGTTATGCCCCTTCACCTTTGGGTTACACAAGTTTATACAACCAAAGAGAAGACACCCTCATTATTGAATGATTAGGTCTCATGTGAAAATAAGGGCATGGCAGGTCTGAGGTGTCATTGAATGGGTGCTGGCCTGAAGTTAGGAGGTGCAGGACTTTTTTGAAGGGTGGTCTCATAAAAGTCTACTGGGAAGACAGACTAGCCCCAGAGGAATGTTGAGGGTGGTTTGGTGATTCATGCAGTGGAGTAGGGTCAGTGGCATATATCAGAATAGACAGACTCAGATGACTGCTTGGAGGACTGCACTGTATCCATCCAGTAATGCAAACAGGAATGTACCTTCAAAAAAGGAATGGAAAAATTCAGTACTCCTTTCCTTTGAGCCTTGCAACGGTGCATCCCCACTGGTATTGCCATCCTCACTAGCATTGCTTAATGGACGCTGCCAGTATATACAGCCAAACAGTAAATATACAGTGAAACCCAACCATACAGTGCATTGGATAACAAAAGATTAGCAAGCCTGTACAACAGGGTGGGGTGGTTGTGCTGCTCCCTCTGTGCTGGGAATTGGTAGAGTTGAAGGTGAAAGTTGTAGTTTGACCAGGAAAAGAATTCTTACTTAGAATTCTTACTTAGAGCTAGAGGGAAAAAAAAAAAGCAGCGCCCTTGTGCCAAGATCAGTGCAGCTGGAAATGCACTTCCTGCAGTTAAAAATACAGGGAGGTTCCTATATAATGGGACTTCAGAGAGGAGATCCGGCAAAACTGTTAACATCTATTCATTCTGATGCCTTAAAAGTTAGCTGCCCAGCAGCTCTTCACTTCTCTGATGGTGTTTAGGGCGAGGTTGTCTCATCCTATAATGTAGTCCTGGTCTGACATCTGAGAATACCAAAGCTCTACAGGAAAAACAGGGACCAGAGTTTATTTCAGTTACACCACTTCCTGCGTGGAAATCAGGAGATGTTCCCAAAGGGCGGTCGCTGTGTGTAGGCGATAGCATGCCTCTCTCCACAGGAGCTCTCTGCAGCTGGTCTGGGAAGTTTACTGCCTCAGGAAGCCAATAAATTAAACAGATATTTAATCTGAAGAGGGCTGGGCTGGGGTGGCCAGAAAAGCTTGATGGAATATTAACACCGTTTGCTACTTACTGAGAGTAGGGTAACTGTGCTTTGAGCCATCCATGATCACCATTCAGCTAGGAACCTTAGCTGAATGGAGATAATCATATGCCCTGAAGTAGCCCTTTTTCTATCTTACTACTTTTTTACCTCCATGATGTCATGGTCTGATGATGTGATTATTGGTTGCTGTGTTAAATAGGTTCCCAGTAAAATCCTGATTCTTTTCATATTGTAATAGGATTATCATACAAGATGAGGGTATTTGCACCTAAGACAAAATACACAGTAGTTTACATGCAGAATAAGTGCAACCATCTAGAAACTGAATTTTCTACAGATCAGCACAAAGCTCTTGAAACAGGCCCAACCCAAACGGAAAATACAAGGTGCTGTTGAATCAACAATGAAGCAACAAGTTTCAAGGCTATGCCAGGAAAACAGGGAAATGTCTCTCCCTTCGCATCCTTACCTACGGAGGAAGTTTTTTTCTGCCATCAGTTACTGATTCACTCAGTCCAGGGAAGGGCTGCTTTCCAGTTTGGTTTGAATGCCGGTCCTCTAATCAGCTGGAGAAAAGGAGTCACTTATATAAGCCAAAGGAAAGGAAATGCTTCTGTGATACAGATCACATGAAGAGCTAGGACTGAGCACTGGTTGTCTCCCAAAGTCCAGTTTCTGCATCTTCTCACCCTGATTCTTTAGGGCTGAGTTGACTGGGAGAAGTGGCAATTTAGGAGGCTTTCCTCTTCTTACTAGCCTTTCTTTTTCAAGGCAGTTGGTGAAGGCAAGTGGAAGGCATGACCCCCTCCTCAGACAAAGAGCTCAACGGGCTAGATAACCCCAGCTTCATGGTGAGTCTGCTTATCTCTGACGGGTAATTCTTGCATTAACAGGTATGAGACCTGAAAAAGGAGGAGAAAGGGAAAGCCAGGGGCTTTTCTGACTGGCTGCAGAGATGCTGGTGTGTTGTAAACGTCTGTCTCTGCTCCTTTATCAACAGGAATCTAAGGAATGATTTCCACACTACAGCCTGCTGCTGTGGACTCAGCATACTGCCTGCTCTATAGTGCTTTTTAAGCTTTTTTTTTCTCCATTATTTCTAAAATGGTATCATAGATGAATGGCAGCACACTTGTATCTGTACTGAAAAGCAAGCGGGCTTGTGGCACCTTGTGGCTGTGTCCCTGGGTAGAGCACTTTGCATAATAATTAGTAAAATTGCAATAGAAATTTAGCCTAGTGAAGAATGTTTATTTTCTGTGTGTCTTCTGCCTATTTCTAATGGGATGAATTGTCAGAGAGATGGGTGAAAAAGGGATTTGTGAGTCACTGGGAGAAAGCATGCTGTAGAGTTATAGCAGGGTAGTAAAAGCTGTAAATGATGTGTCAGTTCAGGGGCAAGCAGTGCCCTGGAAATGCTGCAGGCTGTTACAGCCATAGGGCAAGGGCCTGAGGCACAGCAGCCCCCTTCCTATCCCACAGCAGGGGCTATCTCCATTAGAATCTAAAAGAGCTGCCTATGTTCTGACAGCAGGTGTGAAGGAGTGAGGTCCTGCAACCATCTTCCTACCTTGGTACAGAGCACCCATCTTGGAGGACCTTGGAGGAGGCATTTAATGGAGTGCAAAGTGCCCCATTTCTTGGCTAGCTCTTGGTGAGCTTGCTGTAGCAGTGGAGGTGGGAGTGCTCTGCCAGCTCTGGGCAGAGCCTCCGGGAGGTGCTCAGGGAAAGTATAAGGTCTTCTTTTGGTATTGATAACAGGGTTTCTGTTTCTACCTGTTCTGACATAACACAGATAAGGATCGTGACCTCCTCTGGTTTGAGTCACCCCAGAGAAGGTAGAAGACAGAGGTCTTTTACCTGTGGTTCAAGCAGTTCAGTATCTGACTACCTTCCCAATGTGCTTATTTAAGATGCTGTTGAGGGTCCTTATGCTATGACTTGAGCCTGAGATACGTGGAGGTGTCCTGGTCTCCTGGGTTGCTGGGAGCATCTGGGCTGAAAACCACCAGCAGCATTTCCTTTTCTCTGCTCCAGACTGCTCCTGCCTTGTCCTTCTCCAGCATCTCAGCATCACAGACTGGCTGAAGTTGGAAGGGATCTCTGGAGGTCAGCTCTTTCAACCCCTTTGCTCAAGCAGGGTTATCTAGAGCCAGTTGCCCAGGACTGTGTCTAGACAGTTAAATATCTGTAAAGATAAAGAATCCACAACCTCTCTGGGCAGCCTATGCAGTACTTGGTCACCCTCACAGTGAAAAAATATTTCCTCATGTTAAGATGGGACCTCCTGTGTTTCATTTTGAGCCCGTTGCCTCCAGTCCTGTCTCATCCTGTCATCTCCACTCCATCCTTCTCCCACTGAACCCTGCTCACTCTCTGCCTTCCAGCTCCTGGGGTGATTCAGGCCTTCATGTGGTGATCATGTGGGGCTACTACTGGCACAGGCTCTGCCTGGCTCGAATATGCCTCCTAGTTAACATGGGAAAAGTTGCAGTGCAAGGAAAGGAGCTTACTGCTGTCTGCCTAGCTTAGGATTCGTCTACCCGTGGTGTTATTCAGGAGTAGCTGTCCTCAGATGACTCTGTGCATGGGCAGCCTGAAGTACCTGGCTGTACATTTGTTAATCAGGCTCTCCTGTTTTGAAGTGAAAATGCCTCCACAGGGAGTTATTCAGGGATGCCTCTTGCTCTCGAAGTTCATGCCTGAGTTCAGTTTGAATTAACTCTGCCGTCACCTATCTATTTTGAAGTACCTATAATGCTTCCAGCCTACCTAGGCTGGATATATACAAAGGTAATATAAATAAATAAAAGGTATTACATAGCGTTATTTCAACAGCCTGGTCTAAAATGGGACTTTGGAGACTCAGCTATGAGAATGGAAACCTGGAGGATTCAGGCAAACGATGAAGTCCTTCAGGATTAATCTGCCCCACCTGCAATATTTATGACTGAATGTAACATTAATTTTACATCCCTATTCCCTGACCTCATCGTTAGCTGTTTGCCCCTACTGGTAGGCAGGCCATGAGCACTACTGCAGCTAGCTTGCTTTGCTGAGCATTTCAGTGTCTTCAGCTTCCAGCAGGACTTGGATGATAAAAAAACCCAGAAGTCTGGTGCTGACAAACTGGTTGAGCTTCTCTTGACGACAGATTTCTGTCCCTGACTGAGCAGGGCATCCTAGCCCAGAAAAACCCTCTGCTGCCAGGGCACCAAGGACTCTCTGGCTGGAGAAGGGTCGGTGAAACAAATGGCTTGGGATCTGAATTAGCTTTTGCATTTGGCTCAAAACATTGTGGCTTCCCAGGCAGCCTCCTTCCATTACGTGCATGTGTGCAGGGATGTGCATGTCTGTGTGTGTGCACATGGGGTGTCCATGTGCACAGGCAACGTGTGTGTGTGCATGTGTATGCACAGGGGTCAGGGTGGGTTGGGAGGAGGAGTGGACAACCAGGGGCATTTACATAGCTTAAAAGCTGTGGCAAGTGAAGCAAAGCAGTATTTTGTTTTCCTTGGCAAAACATGTCTTTGTATAAATAAACTGTACAGGGCGTGCAGCTCTCTGGGGAGCCCTGGGGCTTCTGGGAGGAGATTCAAGTCTTCCTGGGGAGCTGTTTCAGACCCTGCCACTTCCCTGAGGCTCCAGGTCCCCATGCTGCTTCCTGGTCCCCGATGCTGCTCCTGCCCTGGGGCATCCTGCTGGGTGCCATTCCCCGCAGCATGTGGTTGAGCTGGGGCAGCACCCCAGTAGCCTTGCTTTGAGCCAGCTCCTTTGAACTGGGCACCGGGACTCCTCATCCACTGGTGTCCCTGTGTTTTACCGGGTTCCTCTGGAGGGTTGAGGTTTCCTAGTAAGACAAAGGGCAGTTGCGTTCATCAAGGCAGAACATTTGTAAGGGTGAGTGTAAGGAGGTTGGAAAGAGAAGACTTAAGAAGAAATTAAATGTAAAAATGCTTCTACTCTGTATTAGCGGTGACCAAGTTGCTTTACCATATTTTATCAAAAGCACTGTTTGGGTGGGACAGCCAGGATGGACAGGACCTACGGGAGAGTTCAGCTTTCACTGATTAACCCATTCCACACTCTTCCTTGCTTCTGATTGCATTTTCTCCACCCTTAGCTAGATGTTAATGATTCCAGCACACTTTCTCCAGTTGTCCCTCCGAGGCTGAGACACCCTCTAATGTTTCTTCTGGTCTGGACAGACATGTGCATATAAAAATTTTCCATAGGTGTTTGTACCTCTCTTTTAATTTTCCCCTTTGCTCTTCCTTTTTATCCTGGCATTGTTGAAAGCTACATGTGAGATATTCCTGCAAGACATGGAGCATGGTCACAAGAGAGGTGGCTGCTGGGTGCCTGCAAGGACAGACCGTGGCTAATGAAGGGTCTCTCCTATTGTCCAGGGTGAAGATGGGAAACACTACTGCTCCTCACTGGATCGTGCTGCCCAGGGCCCAGAGGAAGGCAGGGACATGGGCCACGGTGGTATCAAGCTTGCCTACACTGTCATGGACATGCCCCCCTGGTACCTGTGCATCCTGCTGGGCATTCAGGTGTGATGGGGGAGCAGGGGGAGGCTGGGACTGGGTGAGAGTTTAATGGCTCTTCAGCTGGTTAATGAGGGTGAAACCTGAATTTGGAGGTGCTTTACCATCACTGGGCATGGCTGGAGCTTTGAGGCTGGATCTTGTGAGCTCAAGTCCCTTCTACCACCTCCTCAGCAGACTGTTAACCTTGTGCCCTCAGCTACACTGCACCTCTTGAAGTGCAAGTGGGAAGGCAGGGTCCCACAGTTAGGGCCAAATAGTGAATAAGAACAGGTCAGATACCTCAGCTGAGGATGTGTAAGTGCTGTAATATAAACTTCCCATGGCAATATAAACTGCACAGAAGGGCCACACTGCTTTGGCTGGTGCTGGTGCCCAGGTAAGTTGAATGACCCAATGCCACCAATGCAATGCTGGGTACAGAGCCTCAGGGAAGAGAGACCTCAGAATGATTAAGGTTATCACTTGGAGCTTGGTGGACATTTTGTACTTTGATTTCCTAAATGATCACCTCAGATTTAGAGTGTATTAAACCAAGTTTTCTGAACACATCTGCATCGTAATTTTAATAAAGCATGCCTCTAATGAACACAGTGAGTTTCTGAGCGCCACCACTTCCACTGCAGTCCCGTGCTCCTGTAAGAACTGATAACTAAGGTTAATATTTAAAGCAAAAATTTGAAACATAATTTCTAGTAATTAACTGAAGATCATTGTAGAAATATGTCTGTGATTTCTGAAAAACGCAATGCCTGATTTTTCCATTTTTTGGCATTCATTTTTCATGGTTATCCATAACTGCACTGGGTGAGAAAAGCAAAGAATTGGTAGGCCCAATTTGCCAACTTCTTATGTCATCCTTTGTGGTGCAAATGAGATGGGCTGAAACATTGCATTCACTTTGCCTGATCTCCCTCTACCTTGGGATGTCCCTACCTTCCTGTAAGAGAGCCGCAGACAGCTTTGTCTGCAGGTGCTGTGGGTAAACTGGTTGTGCCTGACAGTAGTCTGTGGAGTCCAGAGCACTGCAAAAGCTCTTTGGGCATGGAAAGAGGGAGAAGTTTGTGGGGGTGCATTGCAGTTCTTGTAGGTGCTTTGGAACAGCGCCTAACAGAGCTTTCCAGTTGCCAAAAAAAGAGAATGGGTAGTACTAGTATCTCCCAAACACAAATCCTTGCACTATTAGATTTCCCTCAACAACACAGTATTAACGTACAGCCAGTTCTGTGTCCTTTTTCACCCAGTCTTTCTCTATGGCTCCTAGCATTTCCTGACAGCCCTGGGAGGTCTCATAGCCATCCCACTGATCCTCTCCAAAGAGCTTTGCCTCCAGCATGACCTTCTCACCCAGAGCCACCTGATCAGCACCATCTTCTTTGTCTCAGGGATTTGCACCCTGCTGCAGGTCCTCTTTGGAGTCAGGTAGGCCAAATGCAAGAAATGGGATACATGGCAGAAGGGCTTGTAGATGCAGAGTTTTTGTAGAATGCCTGTATAATTACTGCATGCACAGCACCAGCTTGGTATAGAGTGAGGGTCATTTTCTACTCTTGGGCAATCAGGACACATACGAAAGCATCCTGAAATTGCTGTACATTAATAGCTATTTGCTGTCCTGACTTTTACATCTCCTGGTACTTCGTGCACCTTTTGTTGGGTTTATACAATTCTCTCATGTAAAAAATAAAGTATTGACACATGCAGTAAACAGTATCTGCTTGCTCCTTACCCCAGGGATCCTCCAGCTGAGGCAGGACCCTTCTGATCTGGGCCTGGGATCAAGATCACAGATCCCACAGGAAACTGTAGGGCAAAGGATAACTGGGAGAAAACTGGTTAAAACTCTTCTACCATCAAATCACTGGTCAACTGCCAGCTCCAAAACATGTTTTTATTCCTCCTGTTTCTTCCCCCATCTCTGTCTGTCTTAAGAAGTGGCTGTGGGCAAACATCTCCTCAGAGGGTGCTCTCCTTCTCCTACGTTGCTAAAGGATTAGTGGAGGAGGATGGACATCCTGGCCATGAAAAAGAGAGAATCTGGTTCTTCACAGTTGTGTTAAAGTCAGGCTGGGGTACATGACCATGGCTGTGGCTCCTGGTGCAATTCAGGCTGGTGTCCTCCCAGGCACCCCCAAATGCCTCAGTGAATACCTGAGAGCTGTGATGTCCTCTGCTTGCTGTTAGCTGAGGATGAAGGAGTAACAGGGATCCTCTCCTGTAGCTGAGTGGCTAAATGAGGAGCAGCAGATCCAATTAAGTAGTAAGGAGCTGTTCCCATAGGATAAGCTTGAATGGCCTTTGCTGTGCTGAGGATGCAATTGCCGTGTTGCTGGCCTCAACTGTAAGGAAGGTGGGATTCAGCCTGTAGTTTGGCTGGAGGCAAACCAAGCCTGAGGAGCCAGTGGGCAGATTTTACTTTTTTTTTCTCTCCTTTTTTTTTTTTCCTCCTTTTCTGTTTTCTGAAACCCCGCAGTAGTTGTTGACAACCATAAGTCACCAACAAGTCAGCCAGAAAAATGGTGAATAATGAGCTGGAGGAGATGCTTTTTACTGGAAAATATCCATGCCACTCTCTGAGGCCCTGGGGAGCCCACAGCTGAGTGCTCTGCCCAGTTGTCAGTGCCCGCATTTAAAAAAAGACTAATTCAGAGGATAGGAGGTAAGGAGATGGTCTGTTATTGTGGCACGGGGAGACTGTTTGTGTTACAGAGGCTGGCCTGGTTAGCATGGCAAAGTGGTGGCTCAGAGGGGTACAGCTGCTGTCTGCTACTAGTCTGGAAGAGAAATGGGGGTCATCAGGCAGGACAAACCATTCTGGCTAAAAGACATTGTTGGCACATGAATGAATGGATGGGAACTGGCCATGAAGATGAGGAGGTTCCCACCAAGACCAAGCATGGTTCAGAAGCAGCCCTCCAGAAGCAATAGCCAAGGAAAAAGCCTGACTTACTGCAACCTGCAGCTCAGTCATGTTACACAGCGTGAAAAAGCAGTGATGGGTCACAGACAGTAACTGGAGATACTATTCAAGAGGCTCCTGAGGGGAGACAGATGTCACTTGCAATTATGGCGAGCCCCCCTTAGCAGATTCTTGGACATCATGTAGTGGTTATCAGAACATCACATTTCCTTCCCTAAACCTGCATCTTTTCCTCTTGCAAACCTCATGGGAAAAAGCTTAGTGTGCCCTGTTTGCCTTGCTTTGGCACCCCAGTTTCCTCTGAGCACAACCATTGCCAGCACTGTCTGTGAAATAGCTTGAGGGCCAATGCATCAGGAGCTATAAATCTATTGTTAATTCAACAGTGGTGGCACTGGGCCTTCTCTGTTTCCTTTTGTTTGACTTTTTGCCTTGCCAAGCAAAATCCTTTGAAGGCTGCAACATATTTGGCCAAATGCCACAAATAAGTAACTCCACAGATGACTGATATTCAAATACCACTTACTGGCTATGCTTTGACAGCGCTTCGATTGTGCATGGCATGAGTAATTGCAGTGGTATAAATATTTGCTTTAGGTGATGGAGACATGATGCTGTTACAGCTATGCCATCTCTTATTTTCCAGTGCTTTTCAGAGAATGGTCAAAATGCTTCTGTTTCAGGGGAGTCCGTGCCTTGCACTCACCTGGCTTTCTGAGCAGGAGCCATGAGACCTCTGGTGCAAGGGGGGGTTGCTTTGGGGACTGCTTCCTTCCTAAACAGAGGGAGCAGAAGCACCTCAAAAGTTTCCTTTGACTGGTTCAGAGCTGCTGTGCCAGCCTGCACCCTCAGGCAGCTTTGGCTTTCCCAAGCGTGCTAGAGGGCAGCCAGAGCAACTTGCACTGCAATGGGGACTTAATGCCTGTGGGAGTTTGAAGAACCAGTCAGACCTTTTAGGTCTCTTTCTCCATTTCTCCATGCATGGAAAGAGGCTGGCGTAGCTCACAGGAGCATTGGCTCTGCAGTAAAAGCCAGTGCTGCGTGCCTCTGGACATGCAAGTTCCTTGCTAGCCTGAGGGATTTGCAGAGTGAGGGTTACTCTAAGCCAGGAGGCATGCGTGGTGTGGGGAAAGCCAAGGTCTCACCCAGCCAGCATGCTCAGACCCATCCATGCAGGTTTCCTTGGCAGTGTCAGTGGAAACAAGGCAGAGGAATTAGCTTTCAAACCCAGTGTACTAAAAGCCAGGTCACATTTTCTACTGCCTTCAGGTGGTTGTAGCCAGTGCATATCCTTGTGTTCCTCAGCAGGTTGTGAAGAAAACTGAGGCAGCTGAAGGGGACAGGGGAAGAAGCTAGATATTAGCAAGATTTGGGCTTAGATCAATGCTGAGCTTACCATCTTCCTTCCTTGGGGTTTTCTCCTCCTCCAGCTTTTTACTTTTGTTGTTGTTCTACTCTGTGCAGCTCCATGGTCTCATCTTACCTCAACAGGGCTACTTTTTCCTTAATGGAGGGCAGGAGAGTTTGACTGCAGCACTGACGTGCGCGTCCAACGCTAACCCTGAGCTCTTCTCCCCAGGTCACTGCTCTTGAGTGCGATGGGCAGCAATTCCCACCCATGGTCAGTGATGGAGAACTGCCAGAGTATTTCAAAATATACTGCCAGAGGCCATGGGCAGACTGCTTTTTTAGGTTATTCTGCTTTCTCTCTCCCCTATGGAGCTGGGTTTCTTGCATTCTGACTCATCATCTTTTGCCTCTGCTCTCCTTCCAGGTTGCCTATTATTCAAGGAGGAACTTTTGCATTCCTGACCCCCACCCTGGCCATGCTGTCTCTCCCCAAGTGGAAATGCCCTTCTTGGACACAGAATGCCACCCTGGTGAATGCCTCTTCACCAGAGTTCATTGAAGTCTGGCAGACGCGGATGCGAGAAGTACATTACATTTTCAGTGTCACCTACTCTGTATCGGGGCTGTTTGCTTTCAGAAAAGTGCCTGACCATGTCAGGGCCATCACTTCTGGAGATCCCTCTATCCCCAGTACACATTGGCCCTTCACCCAGTTGCAGCTTCCTAAGCATCTATTCCCTAGCAAAAAAGCAGGTGCTTCACTGCTGCTAAACAGAGGGACATACAGGCCTCAGATGATTGATTTATGATGCCTGCAAAGTCTCCAGTGGTCCAGCCAGATCCATTCTCCATGAAGCATGGTTAGCCTTGAGGAAGCAAAGAAGGCAAGATGCTTCCAAGGAAGGGACCCTGTCTAAGCACAGAAAATAGTAAAAATAAATACAGAACTTACTGTAAGGGGCAGAAAAGAAATGCAGAACTTACTGTAAATATTAAGGAGAAGTGTATCCTTAGGTAGTCAAAAGAGATAAGGGAAGGTCAGGGATCTCACTACCTCGTTCTACGTCTGTTGCCTTATGAGCCTAAGTGGCTAAATTTGCTTCTGTTGATCCATTCACTGGGTGCTGTGCAAAGCTCTTGGGAAGCATTGATAGCTCCAAAGGACCTTTACCCCAGCCCCTGTGTTCCTCTTCAGCTTGAAGGCAGGGGAGGAAAGTGCTCAGCACCACAAAGAACCCAGCCTGGTTTTATCACCGAATCTGTGAAGGCAGGGAGCAGCCTCACCCCTGCATCCCCTGCATGGAGCTGATATGTACAAGCAGCATTTCTGGATGTAATTGCTGGCTACTTAGCAGTGACTGTCAAACATGGGAAAGTTCAGGGTGATGAATGTGTCCCCCGAGGGAAACTGATACTCAGAACAAAACAGAGGCTGTAAAGATCCACCTGTCCTACCAGTGTGCTGAAGTGCCAGAAGCCCTTCCCAGATGGTAGATGAGTGGAGATCATGGCCCTGCTCCTGTTTTCAGGGCAAGAGCTTTTCCCTTGTGTTTTGGGGGAACAGGGAGAAACAGTGTAGGGAAGCTGATGCTTGCTTGCTTGGCCCAGGAGGGCAGAGAGAAGGGGGTCCCTGGAACAAAATGAATCCTGGAGAGGACTAAATCCATCAGCTGAGAAGGAATTGGTGTGCTGGTACTTTGGGGGTCCTTTCCCACACATGATGCTCAGCCAGGCTTTGCTGTAGTCAGTGGGAGGCCTCTGAGCCTGGCTCTCACACTGGATTTGTGTGAGGCAGCTGGAGCTCCTTTCAACCTCTGCTCTCTCCCTCCCTCCCTTTTCTTCCAGTTGCAAGGAGCTATCATTGTAGCTTCTTGCTTCCAAATCTTCGTTGGATTTTCTGGCCTGATTGGATTCCTGATGAAGTTCATTGGCCCCCTGACAATCGCGCCCACCATCACCTTGGTTGCACTTCCTCTCTTTGACTCGGCTGGTGATGAGGCTGGGCAGCACTGGGGCATAGCGTTCATGTAAGTCTGACTTCCCCATGCAAAAGCTGAGTGCACACAAACCACTTACCTCTAATACGAAACTAAATGTCACAGTCTGTAGCAGGGTTCCTCTGGGTTCAAGGATTATTCACTGAGCACTAACATACAGTGGCCTTGTGCAAGGCAGCACGGTGGGAAAGCAGTGGAAACTAGCAGGAAGTTAGAGCCCTCGGCAACAAAGCAAACCCCAAAAATGAGTTAAAAAATCTGGTTTTTTGTGAGAATCCAAAGTTTCTTCATAGGTCAGTAGAGAAACAAGGCTTTCCAGGGGGCAGTCTCTGTCAGGGTTGTTTGCGCACACTGTTTCACACCCCATTATTTAAGTTAAAAATGCATTCCTAAAATGACAAAGCTGAGCACCCAGAGTTAGGTATTCCTCGAGTTAAAATAGCTTTTTGCATTGGTTTCGCATGTTGAGGAGGAATTGTTTTCTCCACAGGGTGCTCTGGAAATGTCTGCCCATGTGGCTTTGTGGCAGCGAGTGCTCTCTCAAGGGTATTTGTGTGCGTGCCCTGGGGCATCAGTGTACAAGTGTGCTTGGTGGCAGAATTCCCATGGTATTTCAGGAATTAATTTAAGAACTAGAAACCCCACTGCATGGTTCCCCTGCAGATTTGGTACCTTCAGATCCCTAATGCAGATTTGGTACCTTCAGATCCCTAATGCAGACTTCAGCTTGGGATAACATGCAGCAGGAGTAGGTTGTTACCCTCCCTATGGCCTCCCATCAGTTTGTTAGCACTTTCAGACCTGCCTTTGGAGACTCAAAGTCCAGGCTTGACTGCAGCCCCACAAGGCAGCTTGCTGGTCTGGGGACCTGCTCCAGTCCACTTCCCTCTCCTTCTTTTCTCCCTAAACTTGCCCTCCCAGACCCCAAAACCACCACCCTTCTCCACCCCCAGTTTCTCACTTAACTGCTGTCTTCCACCAGCACCCTGTACAATCCCAAACCCTGCCTCCAACCCAACCCTGCCTCCAGCCTGTGTCCCTGCTCTCAACCTAAGTCACCCTTTCTCTCTGGTTCATTTCTGTCCCATCTTCTACCTGTGCCAGTCCTAGTCCTGACTTTCCTGACTCAGGTGCCTTAGCTCCAACTTGATCATTATGCTCTGAGCCATCTCTGTGCCCTGTTTTGCTGCCTTCTCCATGCTCCATGGGTGTCATTAGGGAAAGAGGAAGGGCGATAATGGAGAAAGTAGAAGACATGAGCCATGTGGTCCCAGCACTGCTGTTCAGCCCCACCCCATCCCAAAGTCCCTGTGATGGGTGATACCCACTGTTGCCTCAAGAAACTGATGTAGAGTGTGCTCACTTGCTCTCTGTGATGGTGCATAAACAGTTCGTTGCTGGGCAGGGCCTGGACGTATTCAGAAGGCTCAGAATCTTTAGGGGCTGCAAATGCTAATGCCCGAGATGTCTCTGCTGACTGCCTGGGACCTGGGATGAGTGATCATTGTTACAGACTGAGCATACCTGAACACGTTTTTGTTCAAATAGAGCCCAAAGAGCAAGTTCTACTAAACCTCAATTTTCTGCTCCAGCTCATAAGCAGACCCTGCTACTGCTAAAGGCAAAATGACCTTCTCAATGCAGGCTATGTACTATGTCCGTTTCCTGAGCATCACTCTTTCAAAAAAGGTTTGGGATATATTTTTTCCAGAAACATTTAGCCTAAGGCTGATGTTTTCCATGGAAATTTTCATCCTGAATGGGTAAAGTTAGGTAGAATTCAAAGCAGCTGAAAATAGTGTTTGTTAATGGAATGTGCCAGGCAACTTGAATGATAAGCAGTGACACCTACCCAGCATAGACGAGGGCTCTGCTCTGCAGTGATTCATAAGGCTGTGAGCACCTTTGTCACTGCAAATGTACAAAATGTGCACTGACGCAGTCTGTCTGGGTTCTGTAGCTTTAGAAACCATGAATGGAAACCAGTTCCTCCTCAGACTTTCTGCCTCCAGTCATTCAGTTGTGATTGATAGATAACCTTTGGCTGTATGTTGTGGTGTGTCTCTGCAGAGAGGTGAGGTTTGTGTTTCCTTTGCACTGCTGGTATTCTGCCTGCACATAAATATTGGACCTATACCTCATCACTTTTTCACACATGGAAAGGTACCAGTTTTCCCTGCACTGTCAGGGCACTTCAGCTGATGCAGTTGACTTCTCACCAAATCCTACCTGGATTAACTCATTCAATGTATACAATTTAGAGTTGTTATAAAAAAAAGGAACAGCCCTTCAGAGGCCTGGTTAACACAGGAGGAAAATGTTCAAGGTCTTTTACCAATTCAGCAGTCAAAGTGAGGTGCCCAAGTCCCTGCCCCCTCACTGCATGTGGCAGCCTCCAGCTTCATCTGGTTGCCCTTTCTGAGGGGCAGACACTTGGGGGGCAGACAGGGCTTGCTATGAGAGACCCAGCTGTGCTGCTGCTCGCAGGAGATGTGTCCTACACAAGAGATGGGAGAGGAGCTGCGCCTCGTGGTTGATTCCACCAGAATGAGCCCCAGGTACTGCTATGGGCACACATGAGAACCCCTGACTTGGGCAGACCAGAGGGCCATGCTCTCCCTCCCCTTCTTGCCTGGCTGGGAGGGTTCTGTGGGTGCCATGTGCAGCCCCACAGCCCTACCATGTTTTTTTTCTTTGAAAACAGGAACTTGCACAGCAAAATCGGATCCTCTTTCTTTTACTCCATGCAGCTCAAGTCTTCTTGACTGGATAGCAGTATAGGTAAACCTGAAATCAGGAAACCAATACATCCTGCATTTCCACTACATCTGGATTGCACAGAAGGTCAGGGAAAGTTTCCTACAAAACCTGCCTGGACCTTGCACATCTCTCAGGGCCTTCTTTTACTGAAGCGGCATCCTTCAATTTCCTGCAACTGTCTCATACTCATTGATGCACTAAGCGGGGGGGGGGGGTGGGGTGGTGGTGGTGGTGGTGTCAGTCTTGAAACAAAGTGTGGGGGGGAAATACTTGCAAATGCAGAGGAGCTTGTTCCACCTCAGGCTTGCTGAAGTGGGGAGCCACTCTCTAGTGCTGAGAGCCTGGTTTTCTTTGGTCCTCTGGAAGCCTGTTTCCTTGGGTAACGGGTCTTCAGTTATTGTGGGGACAGGTGGGCACCCACTTTGTTAATGATCTGGTTTACCCTCCTTCTAGGACTATTTCTTTCATAGTTCTGTTCTCTCAGTACCTGAAAGACGTCCCTGTGCCACTGCCATCTTACCAGGGAGGCATGAAGTGCCACCTCTCCCCAGTCTACCTCTTCCAGATCTTCCCGGTACGTAGGGGTTCCCAGGGATGTGGCAGCAGGCCTCACCTGCTCCAAGCTGCCTTGGCTCTTTCCACTCACATCCAGCCAAACTGGTGCTTCCCAGCCCACCCTATGCAGTGAGGGGGCAGAGGGGAAGAAGGTCCCCATGGCCCTCACCATCGGGAGGGAGGGAAGAAGGGAAGATCACTAGGACCCACTGCCATCCCTCTGCTTCCATTCCATGTGCAGGGGACAGGATTGGGTGGGGAGGCACCTTTTCCACCTCGACCATGCTAGAGATGCGGCCATACCCTAACCAGACCCCACTGCTGCATGTGATGGGCAGGTGCTGATGGGGCTGTCCCTGAGCTGGCTGCTCTGCTACGTGCTGACGGTGACCGACGTCCTCCCTGCAGACCCCACTGCCTATGGCCACCTGGCCCGGACGGACATTCGTGGGGATGTTTTATCCCAGGCTCCCTGGTTTCGGCTGCCTTACCCAGGTACCACTGTTCCGCCTTTCCTCATCCTGCCACGCTGCTCCCTGCTCCGGCTTTCACCTCCGCTTATGGCTAGCAGGGGGAGAGTAAATGCCAAAAAGCAGGCAAACACCCACAAGCATCCCTGCTGTTCTCCCCTAACCCCCTGCAATAGATTTCAGGACAAACCAACCTGAACCGAGCTCTTTACTTGCAGGCCAGTGGGGAATGCCAACAGTCAGCCTGGCTGGAATATTTGGCATCTTAGCTGGGGTGATTTCCTCCATGCTGGAGTCTGTGGGAGATTACTATGCCTGTGCTCGCCTGGCCGGGGCCCCGCCACCACCAAAGCACGCCATCAGCCGTGGCATCGGGGTAGAAGGCATCGGCTGCCTCCTGGCTGGTGCCTGGGGGACGGGGAACGGCACCACCTCATACAGCGAGAACGTGGGGGCCCTGGGCATCACCAAGGTGAGCCTCACCACAGCGGGGTGGCTCCTGGAGGTTTACCCCAGGAGTGTCTGTACAAAGGGGTGGTGCACATGGGTATGTGCTGGACCTGGGGTGTGATCTTACCCCACCTTCTGCAAGGCATGCTGGAGGATGTGCCTTGGCACATTGGTGACCAGCTCAGCAGCACTGTGAAGCACCTAACAGAGGTGGCCAGCCCTGCTTTTTCTCTGCTTGTTGTCTGTGCCTGGGATGAGTGCACACTGCTGTTATTCATGGCACATGGCTTAGCTGAGACTAAGAGAGCTTGTGCTAACCTGAAAATGAGAGAAAAGGAAAGGGGAAGGGAAATGGGAAGGGAAGGGAAAAAGAAAGCTTTATTAAAACTTCAAATTCCTGTTTTTATAACACAAGGATGGCAATCATGTGAAAGGTAGACTATTTCTTTGGGATTGTAAAATGTGATGTCAAAGGGTTATGTTTTTACCTTTCCATAAAGTTTTGTGAATCCCTTGAATACCTTACTGCTTTTATAAGGGAAAGAAATTTCAAGAGATAAGCTTGACAATCAGATCATAGATTTTCACTAAGCTTTGCAGCCAGGGGATGGGTACATCCAGCAGCCAACTGGAGACCATTTTTAAACCATTGTCAAATAAACAATGTCATGTCAGCAGAGCTGTGAGTCAGTAAATAAATGCAGAATTTGATTTATGGCTCCCACTCTGTAACATTGCTGATTTCACTGGATTTTATAAACCTCACTCACAATAACCATTTTTCAGCATGAAATGTGTTTGACCAAGATGGCTACTTCCAGCAAAAAGGGCCGTCTGGATGTCTGCTTGGAGTCCAGTTTAGCCTGTCACCACATGTATCTTGTCCCTGTGAAATCTGAGGATACTGACAATATACCTGAGCCCATTCTTTCTTTCATAAGGGACTGTAGTGATAGGCCAAGGGATGTAACAGGTTTAAACTTAAACAGCGGAAGTTCAGGTTAGATATAAGGAAGAAGTTCTTCACTGTGAGGGTGGTGAGGCACTGGAACAGGCTCCTAACAAAGTAGTGAATGCTCCATCCCTGGCAGTGTTCAAGGCCAGGTTGGACAGAGCCTTGGGTGACATGGTCTAGGGTGAGGTGTCCCTGCTCATGGCAGGGGAGGTTGGAACTAGATGAGCTTTAAGGTCCTTTCCAGCCAAAACCATTCTGATTCTGTGATTCTGTAACATATAGTTTGCTGCATACATTGTGCATATGGGATGTAGCACAGTGCAGAAGTGCCCAGAATCATAATTACCAGATCATAGGACATGTTCTCCCATGTACTTCAAGTCCTCCAGGTGGACATGCCATCCTTGCTGATTTAGGAGAGATGTTTCCCTTAGATTCCACTTCTGTTCACTGTGTTCACACAGTGTTGTGTGCAGTGGGTAAACAGAGCAGAAAATAGTCTCGTTTCAGTCAACCCTAAATCAGTGTAAAGACTCTGGCTGGAACTGGTGGGGGTGCTGAGACCATAATGCAAATTTTATTAAAAAAAACACAGGAAACACATTTTTCCATAACAAATGGAAACATAAGGGCCTTGTTTCCCCTGTTTAACAGAGGTGTCCAGCTCCAACTGAAAAATCTTTGGAGGTTTCAGATATCCACAGGATCTGTCAGATAAGGCAAGGAGAAGCTGCTGGAAGCTGCCAAGATGCAGCAACTTAAATGGCACCAAGCACCTATATTTAAGCTGCTTGATCAAGCCCAGCATGCCAGTAAAAAGAGGATTTCCCAGAAAAAGGGGATTTTAAGGAGAGGTAAAGACCTCACAGTCACCATGTAGATAGCAGGGAACTCTGCAGTTTCTTCAGTCTTAAGAAAGAGAAATTATTTTCATGTTTTCCTGACATAATTGAAACAAACTCTAAGCTAGAGGCTTTAGCAGCATATGCTCACACTTGTGGTATCAGTGGATTACGTAATTTGCCTTCAAGGCCAATTCCATATACTGGGTAATTTGACATTTTGGCAAATTAAGAATCTGAAGCTTCATTCTAATCTTGGAACAAATAGATCTGTTGGCTTATATTAAATTACAGTTTTGATGGTAATGGTGTACCAAGGTTTTAAACCAAGGAATATAGAAAGCCCACCTGAAGGCAGTGAATGATTTTATTTTGAAGCTCCCTACCAAATCTTTTTCATTTATCTTTCACAATCAAGTAATACTTAAAATATTTTAAAAGGACATGTTTAAGAAATACTTAAAAAGAAACAGAATTAGTTACTAAGAATGTTTTTTGTTTAAAGCATTCACAAAAAGCCCTGCCTGTAAATATGACGTTCTTCAGGTATTTAAAGGGATGGATTAAAATATTTAATTGAATTATAAAATGTTTGCAGAGGATTACAGAGTTCCCTGCCTAAGACACAAATGTTGTAAATCTTAGCATGATTCTTTAAGCTGTCCAAGTTTTGGTGTGGCAAGGCATATCTCAACTTGAAAGTCTCATAGACTGCTGCTTTTCTTTTTAGTTTCCATAGGATGTAAATGTCTCTTTCATCCCTTTGTTTGGCAGATGATACTTTTTTTTTTTTTTTTCCCTATTTGCATGGTCTGACAGATCTGGATGAAAGGCATGGCTTGGTGCTTCATGCCGTCTTTGTTGTAGTGCCCAACCCAGAAAAGGCCACCCTGGCTCTTTCTAGGGGGAAAAAATGAGGGTAAAAATGGTTTTACTGAAGCAATGGGTGAGGAGAGATAGGGACAGACCAAGATACTTCCCCATTTCTGATTAGCCATTTGTTGACCATGGAATGGATATATCAGATCCCACAGTTTGGCACTGGAGCAGCCAGCCAGCTCTGGTCTCCCAAATCTTGGTCTACGAGGATCGGTGTGGGACACCTCATTGAAAACCATTTTTAGGTAGCAACCCAAACACTGGTGGAAGGATTATCCAGTGGATTGACTGAGTGGTTGCAGCGCTGTGGGTATGCCAAGACATTTCTAGGCTTCAGTGAGAGCAAAGCTGTGTGTGGGGATTAGTGTGCTTTTAATGTAATAATACTCTTTTTGTTTAAGAGCAAACCGTTAAAGTCATGACAACAGTAGGAACGAGGATAAAACCATGTAAATAGGTGTGGATCCATGACTGCTCTCAGAGTGCCTTTCATGATGCACATTTAATAGTGCACAAATACAGATGCTTCCCACGCCGTGTGAAAACCCCAGGTCACCGGTGGCTGCATCTGAACCTGTGACCAAATGTGCCATTGAGTGCTTCATCCAGAGGTGTAACCCCTGCCCGGCAGGCTGGAGCTGGAGCCTGCCATCCCTCACCTCTTTGTGCCGGTCAGCGTGTGACTGCCTTTGCTCTTCCTCTTGCCCCAGGTAGGGAGTCGAATGGTGATCATTGCCGGTGCCTGCACCATGCTCCTCAGCGGTATCTCCGGGAAAGTCGGGGCAATGCTTGCCAGCATACCCACCCCCGTGATCGGAGGCATGTTCCTTGTGATGTTTGGAGTTATCACGGCAGTGGGGATTTCCAATTTGCAGGTAATGGCTGTGCAAGTGCCATTGCTTCCCTAGGGAAGGGGACTTCTGTTTCAAGTCAGGTTATTACCAGGCTGAGTCAGATGCAAACATTTGCATTGGCAGTTCCTTGGGAGAAGATGAGGGGATGTTCCCAGACGGGCTAAATCACAGAGGGTTCCCTGGTCAGATCAGGGTTTGCTGGCACTGACAGGAGCAGGATCACCAACACCCCAGCAGCAACAGGGCTGCTGCCCGTGTCTGCTCCTGCAGGCAGTGTTTACATCCAAGCATGTCTCATGAACATGACAGTAATCCATAGGCTTGGGTAACTCCAAATGTAATGTATACAATTTCTCTATGCAGTACACTGATATGAACTCCTCGAGAAACATCTTTATCTTTGGATTTTCTGTATTTGCTGGCCTCACAGTTCCCAACTGGGCAAACAAAAATAGCATGCTGCTGGAAACAGGTAAGAAGCAACATCAGAAGCATTTCCTGTAGCATAAAACTGAAGCAAAGGCTGATCCATAGAAATCTTATAAAATGCACTTTTTCCTGATAACCCCCTGAAACATGCTTTGACTGTTGCCTGTTTCTTTCTGGGAGTGCTGCTCTTGTCCTTTGCTCTGATGCACAGCTCTGGTGCAGAAATCTCTGGTCTCGATCAGTGACTGCACCTCACCAGATTCCTGTTGTGCTAAGAACTGCAGAGTGCTTCCCTGGGACACGTTCCCAGGATGGAGCAAGAGAATACTCCAGGGCTGAATTTTGATCAGCATCTTAATGAATGAGGCTTCCTTATGGGCTCATACACAATAGCACTTTGTATTTCAAAAATGCCCAAATTCCATCAAGATCACTTTATTGAAATTTCCAGTGCTCCAACACTTACCCCTTCATCGTGTCTTGTGTGACTAATGTGTTCATCATAAAGGCTGCAGTGTCCTCTGTTAAGGTATATCTGGCATGCTCGGTGGGCTGTTGAAGGAGTTGGGCTCACAAATCACTCACTGTGTAGGTGGTCTAACAGTGCCACTGGGCTTTGCTCATGTCTGTTAGCCCTCACAGAGAAACATTACACCTGGTTAATTCGCGGTGAAATCACATGCTAAATATACCTGTGTTTTAATGGGAACTGAAGCTTGTGCTTTTGTAGGAAACTGCTTGGTGTTATGTTGTGGAGGTGCAGAGTGAGTTTGGAGCAGAAGGCAGCTTTTTCTGGGCCAGTGGTGTGGTCTACACTGTTAGTAGGCTCTTAGTATGTTCATGAGTTACCTCCTGCCCACTGGCAGCTGGGTCAGTGGATAATTACACAGAAGAAAACTGTAGGTTTGGAACTGGCAGTGAGATCAATCTCTCTTGCATTGCCAAATCTTAAGCTCTGCTTTGGGATTTGCAAGTCTTGTCTAAACAAGCATGCAGCTTGCAGCCTCTTGGCACTGGGTATGTTGCTGGTCAAACATGCGTCTCTGCACCAAAGCTTTGTTTTTTTGCTAGGAATCATCCAGCTGGACCAGGTGATCCAGGTGCTTCTCACCACTGGCATGTTTGTAGGTGGACTCCTGGGGTTTATCCTTGACAACACCATTCCAGGTAGGATTTGCTGAAATGAGCTAAGCTACTAGTTTGTGCCTGCCCTAAGGTTTGTTTCCTAGCATATTTTTGTCTTCATGACTACTGCTCTATGGGCAGGAGTTGTGCTACCAGCCATGAAACACCATGTGACTGAACTCCTCCCAGAGAGGGGTGAGAAACAGCAGACATCACTGACATGGTATCCGGATGGAAACCAGCAGATTATAAAAAAACTAACTCATTTTTTCGGGAACAACCTAGTCTGAGAGAAAGATTTATTTGGGAAAAATGTCTTTTAGGGAAAATACCAGCCTAGGGCCATTTTGCTGGTTGAAAGGAGAGAGAAAGGCAACCAGAAGAAGTGGAAAGCCCAAACGTGTGCCTCCTTATGTTTGCTGCTAAAACTGAGGCTTGAACTGGGGCTACAGCAGTGGAAAGCAGTAGGAAAGTCTGGTGACCAAAGATAGGATGTAGCACCTGCAGCTAGTCCACACAGCCAGGAAAGAGCCTTTGATTTTCATTGAGCCTGAGGAGGGATGGCTTAAGAACAGGAGAGGAAGCCGTCTTTTCTGCTACAGAAAAAGAGCAGGAAGGACACTCCGTGTTAACCAACTGCTTCTACTGTCTCAGGCTCCTTGGAAAGTGAATCTCCTTCTGTCTCATTACTTTTCTTGTAGCTCTTGATCTTCAGCTCCTCCAGGCAGGATTTACAGGTGTGCTCACTCCCTTTACCCAAGAGGGACTCAGCTGTTGCAACAGCTACAGGCACTTGCAATTCCTTGGCTGGGGTAAACACCTATGACAGACTACTAATTGCCAGCTAAACCTTATTCCTCTATTCTGCAGTATCTGGGCAGTTACCATTCAGCTTTGCTTTCCTAGCACTGTATGAATCCCCCTTTGAACAGTTCTTGGATCTCAGGTGGCTTGTGAAAACCTGTCTAGGTATACCTGATTCCCAGGGCAAGCAATGGAGAAGACTGCTTAAGACTGAAAGCCATTGAAGGAAGATGGGTATTGTCTAGAAGCTGGTTAGTGAGTTTTGTAAAGAGATTTGGAGCTAGAAGGTTATAAGTGCAAGGGACCTGTATGTCGTGCTGGGTCTGCCGGGCTTTCGGAAGTGGGTGTGAGGCACTCAAGGTAGTCCTGTGCTCAAACACCTGATGTTTTAAACACAGTATTCTCGGTTTTGCTGTTGCAGGAACACAGGAGGAGCGAGGGCTCCTGGCATGGAAGCACAGCCACATGGGAGAGGCAGACATCTCTCAGCTCATTTCCAAGGTGTATGATCTTCCATTTGGCATAGGCACCAAATACTGTGCTGTCTCTTGGTTTCGGTATCTCCCTGCTTGCCCCAAAGGGCTATCCGGTGGCAAGAGAATGGATGAACTGAAAGCTGCCAAACAGGAAAGCAGTGTTAGAGCAAGCTCAGAAAGAGACTCTGAGATAGGTGCTGATACAAGGATATAAGCACCTTCCTATCTCGGAAGCTGAGGTCTGAAAAGGATGTCTGCAGCCCACAACATTTGAACATGAGCTGGCAGCTGTCAGAGGCTGGAGCAGGAGAATGATAATGCCTTTCTCTTCCCAGCTGTGCCCCCTGCACCTCGAGGGAGTAATTTTTCTCCTCTCTGCTCCTGCCTGCCCACCTCTAGGAAGAACATATTCCTTCTTCAGGGAACACCAAAGGCCAAGAAATGCTTGGAAAAGATGTTCAATTTCCTTCCTTGTACCAAACCTTGGGGACCCCAAGGAGCAGCTGTTTAGCTGAAGCAGAGCTGTTCCTGTCCTCTGTCCTGGCTGCCCAAGGAACCACAGAAGATATCCCTGATGCGGGCCCTGTACCACTCTCAGGCATCCCTAGGGCTGAGGCTAATCCCCACCACCTTAAAGATCTGTAATTGCAATGCCCACCTCTCAGCTTGTGTTTCACACTCATCCGGCCAGGGGGAAGGAGTGGGCACCTTTAGGTCATGATTGTTCTTATTCCATATTCCCATAATTTAAAGTCAGTCAAATGAATGTGGTTGCAACAGAGGCGTCTAAGGTTAATGGGCTTGACTGTCTTCTGAACGTGCCTCTCCTATCTTAGACTGCAGAGGGAATCTAGAGACCTTCTGTTCTTGACCTAACAAAAACCCAGCTTCACTGCAATGAATCCCTGAGCAGTCTCAGGGAAGCCAGCTTCCCCAGAGCACCAAACCCTACAAAGATGAAGGCGACAATTCTTCTGCTCACAGTGAGATGCATCCCTGTTACTGCTATGTCCTGTGTCCCCTCCACTGTACTTGTTTGGTCTGGTGATTCTGCAGTTACAACCACTTCTCTGGAAAACAGTTTGCAGATTCTTATTCCTGTCCACTGTCAGCAGAAACAGCCTTAACCTATATGGCCATGTCCAATGCAGTTGCATGCAGTGCTGGCTGCTGGTGGTGTGTAATAACATTGTTGTAGTATGAGCTTGTGTTTCCAGTACTGAGATTTATGACTTAGTTGGGTTTTTATTGAAAATAAATGAAATGTACAGTGTAATGGTATTTCTCAGGGTGATCACCATAGTGAGTGGCTGATAGCATTCTAAGAATCAGTGTATAAGGGACCTTTGGAGGTCATCTGGGCCAGCCCCTGCCCAGAGCTGGTCCTGTTAGACCAGGTTGCAGAGGACTGTGTCCAGTTGAGTTACGGGTGGAGAGCCATAGCCTCTCAGGGGCAGCCTGTTCCAGTGTCTGACCACCCCTGTGGTGAAAAGCATTTTCCCTCATGTCTACCTGGAATTTCTAATGCTTCACCTTGAGTCTGTTGTCTCTTGTCCTATGACTGTTCTTCTCTGAGGAAAGTCTGACCCCATCTTCTCTGTACCCCCCACTCGACAGCTGAAGGCCATGATATGATGTCCACTTTGCCCTCTTGGGTCAAGACTGAACAAAACCTGGGTAGTTTAATTGTAAAGTTTTAGTTCCTTATGCTTATTACAGTCCTGTTCTTCAGTCCCATCCTGCAGCTGTAGCAGTATGTGGCTTATTTTGCCAGTAAGGGATATATTGTTTTTTTTTTTCCTTTGGGAGTGAATGAAGTCTGAATAGATCAACTGTATGAGCACTGGGATCCAAAAGGAGGAAAGATTGTGGTACAAATAGTTTGCTGTTATGGGCAGATTGCAGTGCCTCTGTTGAAGATTGTGGTTGTTATGCCTTTGGGAGAAAAAATAATTTGCACAAGTATAATCTGATCCCTCCCCATCATCAGAGATTTTACAGAGATGACTAGTCCCAGGCATCTCAACTCTGGCATCTGCATCTTCCACAACCTAGATTACATCTCTAGGCTTATTTAGAGCCAGCCTGTTCTCCCAGAGATCTAGCAAAGAAACCCATGGTGTTACTCATCATCACTCACAAATTTACTTGTGCTGCAGCACGTGTGAAAGCAAGTTGTTACTCTACCTCAGCCTGTTCCCGTGTCCTGTACTGAACCTGCCAGGCTGCTGCTGGCCAGACCTGCCACACACTGGAGGAGTAGTTTTGACTGGAACAGAATCCACAGCTAATGACCAAGGTACACAAGCCACACCAGCAGGGCCAAAACCTGCTGTACTCTATAGCCTTCAGGTGCTCCATCTGCCAAGTGAGACCTTTTCCTTCAGTGCTGCAGTTGGGATCCCCACATGGAAAAAGCGAGGTGGGAAGCACAGATGGGGAACCCTTGGTAATTACTGGCTCTGTGTCAGCTCTGTGGAGGCTGCAGCCATATCTTTTTACTTCTCCTCATTAAGACATGTTAGGATTCTGGCAAGTGCCAGAGGTTTGTATTTGCTTTAGCTCTGTTCAAAAAAACCCAAACTATTGCCCCAGGTTTTCCTGCAAATGTAAGTCTTCATTTGGCTTCTAGTTCCCCACGCCAAGGGTGGAGAACATTGTCTGTGTGTCTCCATCTTATATTTGACTTGCAAGCTCCCTAGAGTAGAGCTGGGTGCAACTTCACAGCTCCTGGGATGAGAAACCCCAATTCCCAATGGAGGGGGTTACCCTAGCACATCCTACAGCCCAAGAGGTACAGACAGCTCTGTGTGAGTGGGTGGGTATGCATGCTGGTCTGGGACAGCCATATCTGCTGTTGTTAAGGCTTAGAAGGCAGTTTTTCAGAAGCTGTTTATGTCCCTATTTCAAGCTCAGGCTTCTAAATGTCCTTTAAAATCCTCCCTTTGGTGTGTTTGTTGTAAATATATAAAATATCCTTTTATTTGCCTTAGGAGGACATTTCCAAATGTTAAAATGAAGTAGGCAGTGGTTAGGCTGCAGAGCCACCACTCCTCCCAGCTGCATGTGGCCACTTGAGGTTTGGAAACAGCTTTGGCTTTGCACTGCAACGACACAGCTTCTGTTTGTTTGCTACTTAATGAAAATAAATGAAAACCAGGGTATCCTCAAGTGTGAAAGTGAACACTTGAGTGCTGTTCTGGATTGCTTTGAGAACAGCCAGCTATCTGTTGACTGTACTACCCTTTGGGCTACTGTTGAATCCTAAGCGCAGCAAGACTTCCTGATTCCAGCCAGGAGTGGGGTCACCCTGCTTGCAGCTGTGCAGAGTCAGACGGCCAACTGGGGAGCCGCAGCACATGCTCCCGCTGTTCTGGCTGAGGAGACCTGGTGATGGGTATTTGTTCATACCAAGGTGCACTGGCTCTAGAACAGCTAATCAGAGGCTCATTTTCACAGCTTTCTCATAAAAAAGATGGGACCTGGGCAGTAGGACTGCCCTGTGTTGTGAATGCCCCATCCCTGGCAGTGGTCAAGACCAGGCTGGGTGGGACTTTCAGCAATCTGGTCTAGTGGAAGGTGTCCCTGCCTGTGGCAGAGAGGTTAGAAATAGATGATCCTTAAGGTCCCTTCCAATTTTAACCATTCTATGTTGTGCTCAGTGTGCTGTAAAGTGAGGGGCTGCTGTGCTGCACGCAGCAATAACATGCTAAGGAATTAAGGCTGCTTCCCTGCCAAGGCAGAGCAGCCCTCCTGCACACCAGGGCAGAACAGCTATTGTCTGTGTAGTGTTGGCTCTGCAGGAGAGGACGTACAGGCCTGCACTCTTGTAAACTATAGAGGGACCAAAGTAGTAAGTTCTTCATCTTCTCCTTAATGTTGGAACATCTCCACAAAGCCTGCTACCTTTTGGAGGAGTTATTATTTTCACATTACCTGAATACACCTGTTGTTTCGCATTACTGTTCAGGCCAGCCTTAGCCTAAAATTCTGCTAGTGAAGCATGTGTAACGATCACAGGAATGCATCTCCACAGTGTATGGTATCCATTTAAAAATGCATCCCCTAGTACCTGGCAGGCTGAAAGCCATTTGAAAATGAAATATTCTATTCTCTAACTTCTGTCCTGAACTGGCCTTCAAAAGTGGGGGATGAAGGGCTAATAAAGAAAGGTTGTTAACCCTTGAACATAGTTCTGAGATGTAAAGGATTTTATTCATCTTCACAGCATTTTTAATTCTGAGACACTATCTGAGCAGTATTACTCATCAAAGAATGAAATGTGACAGAGGAGCACAGGGCTGACCACTCGGCTTTACACACTTTGCAAAAGTAAATAAACCAGTGTAGTATTGTGCCTGCGGTGGCCAGGTGATTTGGAAATGGGTAGTCACTGCTGCTGTCCTTAAAAAGAGATGCAAAAGCCTCATTTCTCTGTGAGGCAATCCCTCTCTCCTTGTCAGCCCAACCTGAAAAATTGCACCAGAATAGTAATCACTGCAAGGGTGCAGGTACTTTGTGATTTTTTTCAGGTTGCAGTTTGAGACCTGCATCCTGTGAGGGTGAGTAGCCTAATGTGACCTCTCTGCAGCTCTTTCACAGCTTATGCTAGGCGAGTCACTTAACTGTACATGGCTCAGTTTACCTGTGAAGTGAGGTTAAGCATTAAGCTGCAATAGACAAAAGTATTTCTTAACATTTTGTAAGTATCTAAAACCTGTAACAAAGGTATAAATTACTCAACCAATACACCAAGAAGCACGCATGAGGGAATGGGAAATTAACCATAACAAACCACTTTAACACAGCATCTCCACACTCTGCTGAGAGAGGTGTTTCACTGAAAGAGGTGCAGTCTCTTGGTGTACCCAGAAATGCTTGGCAAAACATTAGCAAACAGAGAAACTGTTTAGAAATCTTCATCGTCGAAGGTCTCGGTGCACCTCAGCATGACAGTCTCATAATCAAACTGAAGATCTTCTTCCTGAAACACCCCCCCCCCAAAGTCAAGCAGGGTTAAAAACTACAGGAGTTGATTGAATTTCAAATATACAGTGGGTTGGTCAAGTGCTGACATGTGCCAGCTGATGTGTCATGAGCCCTCCTCTGAATCAGCAACCAACACTTGCCAGGTGCCTGAGGTGCCAGATGAAGAATAGCTCAAATCTTCAATCAATTTCTTTTTAAAATCACAGGGCTCCACCCTGTGTCTATCAATGTCATTTAGACAACTGGGCCCGAGTGTGGTAGCAAGTGGGTCACATAACAGGCTCTGAAGATATGAGAGCTTCTTTGTGAGCCCTTAATTTCTACTGACTTCAGGCTTTGCTGCTCTTTTAGCAACAACAGGAAATAGTTTTGTCTTTCACCAGCTTAAAGAGAGAAAGTGGCTCTTGAGAAAAATGTAAGTGTAGGAGATAAAGGTGTTCATGCCTGCATTCCATCTAATCCACCTTCTGCACTGATGCAAGACTCTTTAGAGCAAAACTACTTTTTAAAAATAGGTGCCATTTAAAAAATGAATAGTGTAAGGAGCACTAAATCCAACTTGTTTTTTAAGTGTCTCACCTAAGAATCTGTAGTTTTAACAGAAATTGGGCCTTCGAAGAAGCAAAAGCTCTCAGTGCCATTTAGAAAAGACCCTCAGATTTTTACTTAGATACTGTAAAACCTTTGGATCTCAATCTAAACTAATTCTTTACTACTTTTGCTGCTAAACATCTCTTATGTGACCTTAAGACAACAGCTCTCGAAAAATGACAAGACGGCTTTAATCTCACACTCAGAAATATTTCTCTACCATCTATGATGGAAGTATGCTCCTGTTCTCATTTTTGGGTCACTATCCTTTTAAGAGTCCGCCCCATCCTTGTCCAAATGATTTAGTCTCTCCTCTTGTGCAAAAGTCTTTCTCAAGCTTTTTGTACCAATGGGGTGCATGCCCTTGGCAGCCTTGAGAGCCAGGACAGCAGCTCAAGAAAGGCTGTGCTCAGTGGATCTGAGATTACAAAATCCTGAATATACACAATGCAACAGTAATACTTTGTACCTGGACAGTTACACAGAAATGGCATAACATAGCACTGGCATATGTTGAGCAGCAATAAAACCCATCACCTCATCAGCTCTGCAGATGAAAGGAGACCATAAGCTGTCTTTTGTATTTCAGTTAGGTGCAAACTGCATGCCTCGCCTTCATACTGGACCTGCTACCCACCTCTATGTCTTTTACAAAGTGTGTGCACAGTGCACCAAGACTTGACATTATCCTTGGGATAATTTATCTCAGCACTGCCCAGACTCCTGGGCTAGTGTAGCACTAGCACAGGTACTGCATCAAGGGATGGGGTTCAGTGGGCAGGAAGAGCTCCTTTCCCTGTCAAGTCCAGGAGTCGCTGATGCTCCAAGTAGCCCAGTTTCTGGGGTAATGTATGTAGCCTATACTGAGCTGTCTGCTGCTGCTTGGGTTAGTTATCTATACAACCACTTCCATAACTGCCTCAATTTGTTTGTTTGAGATGGAGCCAAATTTCTGCTCTCAAAACAAAAAAAATCTTGTCATTTCTTTTTTTTTTTTTTTTTTTTTGCCTCTTGGTGCAATTTGCTGTACTGCAGTTCTCTAAACCAAAACAGACTCTGACCTTCTTATTATCAGTACTCCCTAGCCTTGATTTCTGCTCACACACCCTTTTTATTGTCTTATCACAGACAACTCAAAGTTCCTCCCTAAAAGAAGTGCACACATCCTTTTATTTTCTTTTGGATTCAGAGAGCTCAGTCAACTGCCAATCTGCAGTACTTAAGCTTCTTTTCCTGCTTGTCTTCCCATTACTCATATTTTCCTAGTCTTATTTCAAATGTCCCTCTTCAAAGCTTGAAAGGGATACTATCTCTTATACCACCTCATCTGGGAGCTGTGGGAAGGACCTGGGCTCACACATAATAATGCAGCACCAAGCAGAAGGACAAAATGGGACCACTCAATGCTGCCAGGAATGACATTCACAAAAGCAATTTAAAACTGGAAAATACTGTATCTTTGTTTTCTAGGCCTGCACAGTTCGTGGTCATGTACATAAATATGGAAGAGCTCTGCTTTGATGCAGAACATAGTTATTCTATGTAATAAGGCTGTGTAGATCAGTGCTTGGTCTCTGACAAAGGCCGGGAGTAGATGTTCAGGCAAAAAGTCCAAGAACTGTGCATGCAGTGTGTTCTGTTCCACAATATATGCTCCAACATTATGGCAAACTGTGCTGTGAGGACCTTCTGAGCTGGGAATTGTATCTAGACCTTCAGATTTAGTAACTGTCAATGGATTGATGCCCAGGAGTTAAATCTGGTAATTTTCATGTGCAAGTGTTTTTTAATGTTGGGTTGTTTTTTTCTTTTTTAATTTCATGGAGTATCTTCTAGTTATTCTTACGTTAGACACAGTGAATAATCATTTTGGTACCAAATCACACCATTTCAGATCAAAATTCTCTCACAGTACATGTCAGTCTTTTTTGTGGAGAAGTCCTACTTAGTTGCTCCTCTTTAATGCCTTTTGGTGTGCCTGCTGCCATTCTCTGAGCTTCCTTTACTGCTACTGTCTCCCTGAGATGGGGGCAATCAAGTGGCATGCAGCAGTTGCTACGTGCTTAATGGTGCATCACTAGTTTCTGCTTAGTTTTCTGTCCCAGTTACCCCTCATCAGAAATACTCTACTTCTGTCAAAGGAGCATCTGCTCAAGTAACAGCTACTGGGCAGAATATAGGTGATGAAAAATAGCAAAAGAATGGCTACTGTGGAGGTACAATTGACTCTGAATCCGAACAAGCAACTCTGGCTGAGGTATAGCTCCCTTTCTCTCCTCCACCCATGTGCAAGCTCTGAGCCACCTCCTTGGGAGGAAAGCAAGAATGCAAACACCATGACTTCTGGCTCAGGGAACCTGCAACTGTAAGGCTGAGGTTAAGAGGCAGCTCAGCAGCTGTTTATCAGCCCTTTCAAGAACATGAATACCCTACTCCTAAGGCCTGCCAGCGGATGGCTCAGCCTAGGGAACCTGGCACCCAGACAAGCGGAAGGTGGTCCTGCTGAGCTCAGAATGGAGTGGCTGGATGTTAATGGAGAACTGCAAAATCAGCTTTGCCTGCTCAGATGAGATCACTCAAGCTTTTCCAAAACGAACTTCCATGAAAATAATTAAAAAAAGAAAAAGAAAAAAAGAGATCCTCATGTAATCTGCTATTTTGAATAATTTCTAAGCACTATCAACACCTCACACTTTGCCTCTTACAAAGGCAATCCTACTGACCTTTTGAAATGACACATCTGAAGTGATGAGCCCCAAGCTGTCATTTGTAATGGTTCTGGACAATATGATCAGAAGCACAGAAAACAGAAATTCTTTCTTGACAATGACAGAAACATACTGTTTATATAAGAAATCCTTTGGCAAAGCTTACCTGGCAAAACTGTGTATCAGCAAAGAAGAGTTTTTTCAGGAAGTCAGTGGTCTGCAGATAGAGCATGTGGTGATCCTTTGGATTTTCGTAAGTGCAGCTTGCAAATGCTGAACTGAAAATGGAACCAGACAATACATTCAACTTTCCATTCCTTCATTTCTCCTCCTACTTTAGCTCTTCCATATTTTTACTTTCTCTCCTTCGTATTTTTCTTATAAATTAAAAAAATATTCAAATTGTTTTCCAAGATAATTCTGATATTAAATACAATAGCCAAGCAAGACAGGGAAGAGAGGAAGTAGATGTACTGATGATATACTTTCTAATAAATGCAAGGAAAATATGTAAGAGAAGAGAACAGCAATAGAAGAAACCAGAATCACAACAAATAGATCCATGTAACAGCTTTAGTAACATTGTTTTGGGGAGAAGTATCTATCCATTATAACAGAGAGCAACAATGGTTATTTGTTGGTGTATTTTTTTAGGGTTGTTTAGAGGAACAGCTTTGACTTCTTTTGTAAAGTTTTTGAGTGAATGCAGTAACGTGTGGTCATGAAATGACAATCACCTATTGCTGGCAGGTTTGTATTCAGGTAACAGGTACTTCTGTCAAAAAAGCTATGAATTTTGTTCCTCTCCTCTATATCCTCCCTGGAATTTTACAAAGTTCTGCCATCATGTCTAGAATTACAAGGCACAGAGCGACAGGGAAGGAAGAGAAGAGGATAAACATTGACTATTGAAATACTAATCTAATTTGGGACCTAAAACAGATTGCAAAGATGATGGCAATACACTGTGGTATTAAGGAATAGTTAATCTTATTTTAAAAACAAACAACAATTGTGACCTAATAAATGTTATTTAATAGATATGTATTTCTTAAGCCCTATTATATATTCAAGCATATTCTGATCAACAGCCAAAACAGCCTTTTTCCATTCATTCTGCTCTGGAAGTGCAAGGTGGAATGGTGGTAAAAGAGATTCACAATAAAGAACTCTAAATATGGAAAAATAAGTAGGAAAAGGGATTAAAAAAACCCCAAACCAAAACAAAAAACAAACCCAGAATAAAAACATTATTTGCAAAAAGAAACAATCCTAATGAAGTAACAAGAATGCATAAAGATGAGTTTTAATGTGATTTTCCTCTTCAGGAAAGCACCCTTTTCTTTCTTTGGTCTGAAAAATCAAAGGCAGTGCCAGCTTTGCATCTGACATGTTCTCTTTTAGTTAAGTCATCTGACCTGTAGAGGAAAAAGATGTTTCTATTTAATAGGTCTTGTATTTCTTTCATGTAACTACTCAGGTCAACCACACTTTAGCTTGATCACTTCCTTGTGATTGAATTGGGGTACTTGAAAAAGGTAAGGGAGACAATGTTAGAAAATTATCTTTTTTATCTCATTAAATGTGGGTAGAGTTTATGACTAGCTGACTTATCCAGGGAATGCCTTATAGTCCTCCTAGACCTGGTTAAGTGAGAGAGAGAAAAGGAAAGCATTACAAATACTGTAATTTGAAAAGATGGAAAGCTATGCAGAGTAGTGAAGAAAATCAGAAGGGCCCCAGTTACTTTGAAGCGATGGGGTGTTCTTAGTAAGTGATTCTTACTAATTCTGTCGTAAATGCCTATTAATCATTTCACTTATGCACCCTAAGAGACAGTATTATTATGAGCACAATTGCTGGAGCCTGCTATTGTAACCATTTACTGAAAATCAGGCACAAAAAGAGAAGCTAAGCTATTACCTTACTATGCAGAAAACTTGCCATGGAGAATTGATAGTGAGCTACTAACTTAGTCTGTCTAGCAAAAGGGGTGAGTTTGCAATTTACCTCTGGCTAGACATTCCCTGAGTCTCACTTCTGTCAAGGAAACCAGCAGCAACATCAAACGCATCTTCAAACATTACCTATTGGAGAAACACTTCAGATGTCAACATATCCAGCCACCCAGAAGTTCTACCTAGTACATAATTTTATAAATGAAGCTTTTAAAAGGATGATATTCTTTCTTTCCTTTTACAAGTATGCTTACGGCTAGAGTAAACCAAGAGGGTTTTGTGAGGACAGGATTAATAGGGAATAACTGTATTTCATGACTAGGAACATAAGGTTAGTACATTCCCTTCAGCCTGCGTTTCAACTTCTAGGAATTAGACTTAACATTACATCTCCCAAAAATCAGTAAAACATGAATTGTATCAGTGCTTTAGAGACTTGACCATGGGCTGCTGCTTCTGGCTGGAGACCTCAGTCTCCCCAAATCTCATTCCGCTGTGTGCGACATGGCTTGCAAAGGAATTTAGATGCTCCCTGCGACAGACTGATAAACTCATTAGTTTACGGTGCCATAATGCAGTTCACACATTTTCTGTGCCAGAAAGTACTGTACATGCAACACCACCATGACATTTCCTAAGGAGGTCAGCAATATAAGTTGTGTCATGTGACTCAGAAAGAACTTGTCAATACCATTTACTTACATGCTAAAGGTGGACATCTGCAGCTAATAAAATTACACGTCTTTGAGCAGCTAGTTGCTTAAGTAATCAGTGCTCCAGGAACAGTTTACAAAGAGTTGGCTGTTATTTCATCTCTTTTTAACAAATGCTCGGTCTACTCAGTCACTAAGTTCTTGGCTCTGCAGAGGTGCATGACACAGGCAGTCATTAGCCCTGTATCACTGGAACTTTCTCTTTGCTACCAAGTGCTTTGATGAAAAGAAGCCACACAACCCAAAACACAGCAGGCCTTGGCAAACTGGGTATTCCTTCTGGATTTAGATCATCTGTGCTCCTTGGAGAGTTTGCAGAGAACAGTAACTAGGTAATTCTTGTCCTTGCTTCCTACCCCTGGAGCAAGTTAGAGCAAATTTAACTGTTACTTAGCACAAAAACTACAGGTCAGTGGAGACTATTGGGATTACTACCACTGCACTCCTATAGCTTGCCAAGGAGACAATTCTCTCTTTTACCAAGAGAGAATTTAGTGCGGACATTTACTCAAAGACTACTTATTGTCTTCACTTTTTGCATTCAAGTGGTCTTGGAAAGCTTAATTGCAACTACTGTATGTTAAAAATTAAAAGCTGCAGAGCCAATTAGCATCTGAAAGCTTGGAGTTTCAGAGGCAGATGTATGTTACTGAGCACTTACTTCCTCTGGTGTGGAGACTGAGGAATCACTGGGTTCCTCACTGTTACCTCGACTGTCCCTCACACTACCTTCAGTGCATGCAGGCTCCTGGCAAGCAGCCTTAGGATCCATGAGGAAATCTCTCTGGCTACAGTACTGCAAGATGCTGTCTCTCCTGTCTTCTGAAAGCTCTTGCCAGAGGTGGGAAATAGCCGTGGATACCTCAGGAAGAGGCACCTCCTCAGTGCAAACAATTCCATGCTCTATCAGTAGATCCACTGTGTGCTTATAAAAATACAGGTATCTGCAATGAACAGAAAGTGAGCATCTCTTAAGAGCAGGCTATGATCCAGCCATTTACTATAATTCAGCAGGAGCCTGGGGAGTAGCTCTGATTCATAACTACTTCGCTCACTCTCCCCCTAAGACTTCATACAATTACTGCAGGTTGTCCAACACTGTTTGAAGGTCTTAGCAACTCTTTGCCAAGGTTTCATCTGCAAGAGGCACATTCTAGCCACACTCCAAGCAAAGCTGCCTCACAACAGAAGCTCCAGGCACTTCACACTGTACTTGTTGCACAGGAAAACCTCATTCTGGCATTTCATAAATTTTGAGTTACTTGCCTTTATATCTGAGGATTTTACGTTGTAATTCACTTCTTATACTTTTAGTGACATCGCACTAACTTAGCCTTGGCTGAGGCTATATCCTGATGTATTAGGTACTATAGATACAGATAGAAAGAGACTACCCCAGGCCTGGATGCTCTGACTTAAATAAGCATAGGAGCTCAATTTCCTCCGTTTTATATCTGAAGAAACACATCCTTAACACTGACTTCTGTGCAGTCTGTAGTGAAATTTGTAATGGAACATATGTGCCATAATTTCAACCCTGTTACTAATCTCAGAATGAGCCCACTTCTTCTGTTAGCACTGTGTGGCACAGTGAACTAGGGATAATAATATCTACTTTGGAAAGGTTATTTTATGTTAATTAAATGCTTAGAGCCTCTCGGATGAAAATAACAAGATCAAAAGAATACAAACCAAGAGTTCTATAAACAGCAGTCACTCTTACTAAGTTTGGGCTCAAAATGATTCCTTGAAGATGTCCCAGATGAGCACATTTCCTGATTAACTGAACAGTATTGCATGAGAGAAAATAACTCAGAAGAGTTCAGTCTCTTTTCTTTACTCATTTTCCTTTCTTTTCTCATTTTCTCCTCTCCTCCCCTCTCCTCATAGTTGTTCCAGCAAACCAATATCGAAAAATCTTAAGATTCTGCACACAAGCATAAACATATTCAAACTCTGGTTTCCACACTCTGGAGTATTTTCCTTCATTGCTGGAGACAAAATAACAGAAGGAGAATAAGCATTCTCATGTACAGTATTGCTCTCACTAAAGATTCTGTATGTCCAGCTCCAAACAAAGGATCTGGAGTTTCTCAAACAGAAGAATATGAATGGTCATTAAACTGCTGTGCCAAAGAAATTAAGCTTGAACCATGACTCAACTATCTCCTTCCTGGCTGGAAGGATACAACAACATTTTGCACTGGACAGGGTACCCTACCAATGTAGCTCCTGTTGCTGGACATGGGGAAAAAAAAAACAACAACAAAAAAAACAGTTGAAGCTCAAAGCATTTCTGATGCTGCCCAAATAATATGATTATGCAGTCACCAAAAGGCTGTTACTTTCTTTGATGAAGAGTCCCTATTGTTTTATGCCTGTTATAAAAGACCATTTTTTGAGAAGAATTAGCTATGAACCAACTGTGGTCTGCCGTATGACTGTAGAACAACTGCCAGAGTCCATACAGTACAGGCCCTGGTCTTCCTCGTCAGTGAAGAAGCTCTTTATGGCTCTGTCGTGCATGCTTTCATGAAGTAGAGCTTACTTCCCCCAGAAAATCTTGAGTCAGCACATTTCAAGGTCTTGTAAATGATACCTTACTACAGCCACCGCCGATTCTCACGGGAGCAAAAGCAGGAACAGGAGCGAGAGGCTGGTGCCATCTGCTGGCACAACTGAAGCCTCACTTTGATGAAAAACTCAATAATCCAAGGGAATTTTATAAATAAGCACCGGCTCAAAGGAAAAGAGAAGGAACCGCGGAAGTTTTTGTTTACGTGGAAGGGGATGCCAGGCGCACCTGTGGATTCTCCTGCACTGCATATTCTTAACTCTGAAATGGTTAGGGTGAAACTGACTCTGCTTGATGGTACAGGATAGATTAGATACCCATCTGTTTCTCAAATCTTTACAACTAAATTATCATTTATGCTTTTGGAAAGCATCCATGACCTCTAAGTACCTCCTAGTGCTGTCTGACAGCAAGAGGAAGAATAATGTACTCAGTCTTAAGATACCAATAGCTTCGAAATAAACCCAGTAATTTTTACCATTTCAACCAGAGACTAAAATACATGGATCACTGACATGAGAACAGTGGTCTTTGACTTTTAGGTCTTGCATCAGGCACTTAGGAGCTGATTGTAAAGGAGGTTACAGGCTTGTACCCACTAGCTAGAAGTCTGACACATACAGGTGTTTACGTTCCCCTTCTCCCCCCTGCCATGTTGCAGACATTCTGAAGAGTGCTTTCTTGTATCTTCCAGACCACCACTATTTTGCAGCCCACAGGCTGAGGACTACATGATATTCCCTGACTGGATCCAGCCTCATCCTGCTCTGATCCCACAAAAAAGTACTGCAAGCTGTCAGGAGCTAAAGGTCTATTTCTGTGAGGGGCAATAAGTGTTCAAGCTCCTCGTAACAATGCTATTACAGGCAGAATGAACATCACTGTGGGGGAAAGTGTCTGCATACCTCTGGTTCCTGCACCTCCCCAGAACACATACAGCTAGACATACAGCAATTCTTACATTCCTAAAATCTAGCCCTGTTGCAGAGATACAACTTGATAGTGGTACAGATGCCACAAATACACATGGACATGCACCTACGTAAAGCACTCTGGATGAATAATCTCCTATTCCATCTGAGCTTGCCTACTGAACCACTTTTGTTAGGAGGTCTGTTGCATCTGACCCTGCCAGCAGTACGGACAGTGGTAAAACATGGCCATGCATGGACTGACATATTTAAAAGAATTTTTTTTCCCTTTCTTGAGGATGCATGGAAAACCCCCAGGGATTTTCCAAGGCCTGGAGAGCTGGGGGCTGCTATAATGCTGGGAGTCCATTGACATGCAAGTTGCCGGTAAGGGACATAGGAGGTGCTCAGGTTCATCACCAGCAGGGTTAAAATTGCTGGCATAAAGCTCCTGCAAGGCAGATACAAGTTCCAGTAGGGCTGCATGAACAGCAGCAACTGGATGCACAGTGCTATTTCAAACAACTTAAAAAACTGAAGTCAACATGGGATGCATCTACCGTTCAAATTCCACTAGATCTGGGGATGAAGTGTCTGAAGACTGGATCAGTTCTGGCTTCCTATCCTCTTCCAGCGTTGGCTTTTCACATTCTTGAATCAAATACGAGACAGAAGAGTCAGTCTCACTTACAGCTTCGGAGGCTGCTGCACTGCTGGAAAGAACACAAGAATACACAGAATAAAAAGCCACATGAACAACTTATGAATTGAATTAATAAGACCCTTGTCATGCTCACTCCCGAGTGAAGGGCCATTCTTTCCAAGCCAGCCTTCTCATCCTCTTTTTGTCTGCAGGCAAATGAGAAGTCCTTGCTGGACATCAGCTGCATAGGAGGGAAGGAAATACAAGCACTGACTAGAAATGAGACCAACAACATGCTTAGAGTGTTTTTTCACAGCACAGATATTACAGGGGTCCAGGTGAAATCTCTTTACCTCACACTGAAAGGCCTCTGCTTGGAAATACAGCAACAATGATGAAGAGGTTCAGAGATGCTGGGATGAAAACAAGTGCAAAGTATTATCATCTTTCTTTGATTGGTATAAGTCCTTACCTGTGATTGCTGAAGTGCCTCTTGACATATTCCTCCCTGAGTTCCTCCAAGCCAGATGGATTCCAATCCTCCAGACTGAAGGATTCTGTTGTCAGCGGAAAAGTTACTGTCACATCAGTGGTACTCTAGGCTTCCCTCTCACCCTCAGCCCCAGTCAAACAGAATAATTTCAACAACTGGTTTTTCACAAGCCAGAGCTTTTCATAAGGCAAAAATGATGTAAAAGGAGAAACTTCTGCCTCTTCTACAATGTAATTACCACGGGGGGGGGGGGGTATGATTATTGAGGAACTTTGAATCGATACCTTCTTCCTAATGTTGGTCTGATAGACCTGATGGTGAAAACAACCAGCAATCAATGTCCAGGCAAGTACTAGTCAATACAGTATTCACAAGCAGTATGAATTAATTAGTATGCAAGTAAATGCAAGGGGAAGTTTACCTCCAAACTCTCCTCAACCAGCCTCACTGCTTGTGATCCCTTCAATTTTGTAAAACAACAGAACAGTTTGTGTTGGATAGGACCTTAAACGTCATCTGGTTCCAGCCCCTTGCCATGAGCAAGGACATCTTCCACCACACCAGGCTGCTCAAAGCCCCGTCCAACCTGGCCTTGAACACTGCCAGGGATGGGGCAGCCGTAGCTTCTCTGGGCAACCTGTGCCAGTGCCTCACCACCCTCACAGTAAAGAATTTCTTCCTAATATCTAATATAAACCTACCTTCTTTCAGTTTAAATCTATTCCCTCTTGTCCTGTCACTACATGCCCTTGTAAAAACTTTGTCTCCAGATTTCTTGTAGGCCCCCTTTATGTATTAGAAGACTGTTATGTCTCCCCTGAGCCTTCTCCAGACTGAACTCTTTCAGCCTCTCTTCATAGGAGAGGTTTACTCTGTCAAACTACTCCCTCTACCTATGGCTGACTTTTATGATTTATGAAAGAATGTGTGCTCAGAGGAAATTGCTCATTTTAAGCACTGGGACTTCTAACAGTTGCAAATTATTGGGAGGAGCAAGTTGAAAGAATAGCAATGTCTGGGTATTTTTTCTAGCCAACATTAATTTGCACACTTGAAGGGACATAAAAATATGGTCAAAGTCTCTACCCCATCAGCCCTCAGTCCTACTTGCTGCCACTGAGGGCAGTAGCCAGCATCAGTAAACAGAAGGCATGTTGGCAAGGGTGTGAAGTTCCAAAGTGAGAGCTGCCTCAACTGCTGACAGCACACGCTAGACTGGTGTGATGCATGCTGTCACAAGTGATAATGGAAGAGTGCATGAAGATGACCCATCACGCTGAAAAAAAACAAAACTGCAGCATCTCTCTTACCCATTTCTATGAGAGGTTCTTAATTAGAGGCTTCTGTTTCCTATTCTAGGAAATCCTCAAAAGCTTCTCTGTCCCCCTCCTTTACCTCACCCAGAGCCTGCTGTTCTGAAGTTTAAGTCCTGGCTGGGCTCAACTTGGACTGTGCCATATTGCTGCAGCTGTGAGGAGCGCAGACGCTCCTGCAGCCTCTCACTGGGAGCCCAAGCATGCAGCCTAGGGACCCATGCCAGCCCCAAACCTGCCAGGGGTGAATTGGCAGAAGGGTGACAAGGACACTCTGCCTGAACTACTTGCTGCCACGGGTTAGCAGGAATTACTTGTTTCCTTCCTTCACCTAGGATGAGGACAGGGTAGGAACAACTGAGAGTCAGGGGGATTTCTGAGGTGCAGTGTTTAGTGGGTCAATACACTTTTTGCTATCCCCTGCTTACTGCTACAACTAAAGCCACAGTTTAATGTTTTAATGGGCTCAGTCGTGTACCTGTCTGTCTCTATTTAACAAATAAATTAACAAAACAAAACCAGGCACTCTGTCCACAGCAAATGCAGTTGCATACAGTTACCTTTCATCTTCAGCAAAGAACCCAAGGTTTGCTCCAGCTTCTGGATAGATTTCTTGGCCTTACGCAAAACCTGATACTAAACATAAGAAGAAATGAGAACTGATTGCTCTCTGCTCTGACTAGATTCCTGTTTTAACATGCCTTGGTTGCTTACTTCACTTTTCCTTCATTTTGACCTTCAGTTATATCAGTGTCTCTGTGAAAACAACTGTGTTTTTTCACGAGCAACTGTCATGCATATGGAAAGGGAAAAGAACTAATACCAGAACAAACTTAAATACAGGATATAAATATATAATTATATTATGCAACACAAACATGTAACACCTAGTTACATAGACATTTGTTACTTAACTCTGACCTTCTTTCGTCAGCGGATGGTCTTGTTTGGCTCACTCTCTTCTTGGAGCATGTCCAGAAATACCATGCTTTGAAGTCTTGCTGGATATCTACCATCTTCAGGCATAAGACTTTACTAATCATTTCCCATGAGAATTATGGCAGGAGAAGCCTTTGCCCTGTTGTAGTCTCAGCTACACTTATGTAAACTGGAGTAACTTCAGTTTGCTGCACATCATTCCATCATTTATAGAAAACACAGCTGAGAACATATGGCCAATACATTTAAACATATGCAGCTCAAAAATATTTCAAGATTTATGTGATTGGTGACACGATCCACAATTGCCATAGGCAGGGTGAATATCTTGTAGAGTTTTCACATGTGTTATTTTAGTCAGACACTAACCACTGGGATTACAAGTGAATGTCTGTGTTTAGGCTCTCACAGATACTGAGCCTCCTTGGCCTTCAAGTGTCACACAAGGGGCACATGATAGTATGAAAATGCAATTTCAAGAATTGATGTGAAGATAGTCCCCTTAGACTAGACAAAATAAGTTATCTGTTTAGTCCTGGCTTCTGAGATAATGGTGATATCAGCTTAACTTGCATCTTGTTCAGAACATGGCAAACTGAACTCCTACCTCAACCTGCATGAGAGGTAAGGGGCTCAGCAGGCACAAGCCCCAGATAGCAGTATTTTGCATATTTGGAGCCTTAAAACCACTTACAAGGACAATTCCCTTCCTAAGCAATCATTATGCTCTCCATTTTACAAACTGGAAAACTGAAAAGTAACTGATCTTACTAAATGAAGCAGTGGTGGAGTTGAGGATAAAAAGGACTCCCTGTGTTTATTCCTCTGCCTTGAGAATAGTAATATCCGTCTTTCTAGTAGCATTTTTGTGTCAATTTTATCTTTATAAACAATTTTGTTTTAAGGAAATAGTTTTGGGGGTTTTGGTTTGTTGGGTTTGGTTTTTTTGGTTGTAGTTTAGTAGAGACCAATAAACAGTACTGGTGGTTGTTTTTTCCTGACTTATTTTTCCAGTGTGTTGAATAGAGAGTGCACCCTCATAAGGCTGAATGAATTACTCCCTCCCCTACAATTTATTCTCTTAATCCTTAAACACACTATTCTGATTTCACAACAAAATGCTGCAAAATGAAGATACTTCATCATGGGATCCCTTGGTTTGTTTACAAAATATAAAGAAGCCGCAAAGCTATAAAGAAGCTGCAAAAACCCTCTGAGAAAAGTGCAGATAGGGCCCATGATGAACCCATGATCCATAATTTACAAAGTAGGCAATTTTCTTACACTGACCTGCCTGCTTTAAAGTAAATGCAATCGAGGAAAGCTGCACACAGTGAAATTACACACAGACTGGCATCCATAAAGATACAGTGGCCATCCTAAGGAAGCTGGTTAAAATTAAACACACCCACATATAACAAGCACTGCACAAAGTGCAGTCACTGCTGCGCACCTTTGATGCTGAACTGCCTGACCGGGACAAAACAGCTTCCTGCAAACTGCTGAAGAGGTTTGCCAGCGTAGCCCGGTGCCGTGCCTGTGATGAGCGCTGCTTGGCCACGTGAGGCTCTGCCTCTTGCAGTTGTCTCAGGGGACTGGGATTCACTCTGGCATGCGTCTTCCTACAGCCTCCAGCTGTCTCCATCAAAAGCTGCAATGCAACATTTATTTATGTTGAATAAATATGTAAGTGAAGAAAAAGAAACCTTAAAGCCTGCATAGTGGACTGACGAAAAAGGCAAGCTTGGGTGACTCAAAAGAGCACTCCAGCTCATTTTTCTGCAGTTTGAAGTTTGAAATCTTCTCTTTGCCTGAGGTATGTCACCTCTAAGTACTAAGGCCTAACCTATCACTAACGATAAACTGTGGGGCATGAAACACAGCTGAGACAAGCCTCCCACCTCCTGCACCCTTCCCCACAATGACATGATGCTCCATTTTCATGGGCTATGTGGGGCTCAGCTTCACATTGTGCTGAGGCTCCTCAGGCCCACCAATGGTAAAGACAGACTTCTTCTCCACGCCAGAATTCTTTCTCCAATTAACTGTGACATCTGAGCAGGCATCGATATGAAATGTACACGTGTAACAGAGACTGACACTTGCCCACCCGGGCCCGCTGCAGCCACCCCTCCAGCCTGAGAGAGCACAAACTGCCCGCCTTGGGAAGCCCTTCCTGGCACTGGACGAGTGCTCCCTGCCCCATTACCGACTGCAAGCACGGCCTAGAGATAAGAACGCCTACCCCTTCTGCAGCCGGGAGGGAAAAGGCCAGCCCGGATAAGCCCCCGCGGAAATCTGCCAGAAGCTTCCGTGGATCGACCGAGCGATCGATCGATCGAACCCGCCCTTCCCTGCCCGGCTCGGCTCGGCTCGCCTTCGGCCCGACCCCCTCTCATGTTCGCCGCTCCCCTGCCCATCCGCGCCCAGCGACTCGAGCCGCACGTGGCAGAGGGCCAATCGGGACGCAGTCGGAGCTCGCCGACAGCCAATAAGGAGGCGAAGAAAACGCGGGCTTTAGGTGCTGGCTGGGAGGGGGCAACGACGAGATGGGTTAGTGGTGCGCATGTGCAGCTGCGGGGACTACAAGCTCCGTCATACCTTGTGCTGTACAGGCACGGCAAGGCACGCTGGGAGCCGTAGTTCTCCTGGCGTTGGGCCGGGCTCTTCCTTCCCCGCCCGTGGGCGGGCGGTGTCGTGGGGTCCCCATGGCGGCGGCAGCGGAGCGGACTGACGAGCTAGTGCGGGAGTATTTGCTTTTCCGCGGCTTCACTGCCGCCCTCAAGCAGCTGGATGTGGAGATCAAAGCGGACCGGGAGAAGGGCTTTCGGGTGAGCGGCGGCCGTTTTCCCCCTGCCAGGCGCGGGTGGCCGCCGGGGAGGGCGCGGCATCCGGGCAGGCCCAGGGGAGCCCTTCGCCTACCCGCTCCCGGGGCTGGGTGCGTGGATCGGGCCGGGCGGCAGTGGGGAAACTCCCGGAGTCCCCGCGCTCCCCCGCGGAAGCGGCTTGCCTCAGGGCCCCCCCCCCCGCCTGGGCCCGGTGGGCCGTGCAGGCGGGACCCCTCTCGTCCCGGTGGCAGGGGCCGCCGCCCGGCCTCGTCGCCGGTTTTTGTTGGCGCAGCCTCCCGGTTGAGCGGCTTCAGCCGGTTTAAGGCTCTCCTCCTGCTTGGTTCTGAAGCGGCGTTCGCACAGGGCAGCGGCGGTGGACCGTGGGCTCCATCCCCCTCGCCTGCTTTCGCGGCCGGTAGTCGTCGTTCCCGGCCGGCTTACCTCCGCGCTGGCCGTGTCTGCTTGGCCCGTCCTAAACTGCTGTCCACGGACCTTGTGTCTGACCTGTGAACCACCAGAGGATTCTCAGTTTCGTCCCGAGAGGAAAGGTAGAGATGTGTGTATGAGAGGGCAGTGGCAGGCGGATGTCGCTTTGCCTGGAGCTGTTCTCAGTCATGAGGCTTTTTATCCAGCGGGTTTGCAGGTCTGCTCCTTAATTTGGGTATCTGAAGCACCAGCTGACTTGCTGGATGGGTGGAAACTAGCGCGGGATTTGCCACCCTCAAAAATACAGTCCGTTGTGCAAGCGTCTTGTTCTGTAGCAGCAGTTCTGGGCACTGCATATAGTGTTCTGAATAGTCAGATTTTTCTTTTAACTAGGACTGCAACCAGTATACCTCATTATTCATAAAGTATGTTGCTTTTATTTTTAGAGCACCAGCACTTTGCTAACGTTTAGAGGTCAGCAAACATTTGATTTAGTTGCAATGATATCGAACAAAATAGGACCGCTGGGGTCACAGACTGTCATTTCCTTTATCTGTAGGAAGCTGCAGAGGCTAGATGATGTCCTAAGGTATTAAGTGATGAGGGGGAAGCAAACCACATAGTAAACAACTTTGGTAGTTGAATTTTGTATAGGGTGCAGATGTTTTTTCTGATGCCTGTCTTGGCCATCAGAAGATCACTGAACAAAAAAATTGGTTTCCACACCACCATTCTGCCTTACTCATATGCAGAGATGATTTTCAAAGAAGCATGAGGACAAAAAGAAATCTGTTGCAGACTTCTATGCCTGCCTTGTTAGTAGATGATATTACTAAAGATAAAGGTACTTGAAAGATTGCAGCACAATGGACCTTCCTCTTTCTGTTGGCTAAATAGAGCTTTTTCAGTCTAAAAGTAATAAAATTTTCCACATTGCACTTAAGTTTTCAACATTTAATCATATTATTCCTGTTTCTTCATTATCAACTGACTTCTTCTAAAAGAAGAGGAAAGTTTTGCTTGCTTGCAAAACACCCTATCAGCTGTGTTTAACAAAATGTGATTTTTTTTTTTTTTTTTGGTCAAAAATCTGTTTGGCTATGTTCTTTCAAGTTTCTTCTTTTTTCTTTTTTTTTTTATTTGTAAAGGTGCTCCAGAGTGGAAGAATGCTGATGCCAAATGCAGAGTGTTTCAAGGGTTAGGCAAGCAGCTAATGCATAAGTGCTGAACTGTAATATTATTTGTGTGGTTAAAGCTTCTCAGCATTAAGTTACAGAAAATCTCTTGTGCTGGAAGAGCCCTCGTGACTGCAGTTTCCCTTGTTTTGCCCTCTTTAGGTGGATAAGATAGTGGACCAGCTGCAGCAGTTTGTTCAGAGCTATGATCTGGCAGCCCTGCGGGATTACTGGAGTTATCTGGACCGACGTCTTTTCAGCCGTTTGGAAGATGTGTACAGGCCAACAGTGAACAAGCTGAAAACCAGCTTATTCCGATACTACCTTGTCCATACTGTTCAGGTACTACTTCTTTTTTAGGCTTTGTTTTAAACAAAGATCCTGATGTCTGAAATCAGAGCAATAAAATACCCTTGTGAGCCTCTGGCAGGCCTGATGGGTTAGGGGCAAGCAATTCACATGTCATACATCAGAAGTATAGTGGCGAATTTAGTGAAGACTCACATGACAACCTTGTAAGCAGGATAAAGGAAGCTCCAGCAAGAGGGTTACATGCTTAGCTGTGAGCAAGATACACTTGGACATGAAAGCAGGTCCCCCTCAAACAGGTTGGCTGTACTGCTAGCTCAGTCCTGCTCAGCCTCTGTTAATAAATTGGATACCAGGAGATAACCACAAGGTTTGCAAATGCCTCCCCGTGGGGCATTGCTGTGAGAACAGAGGAGGACAGGAACAGTGCTCAAAGCAATCTTCATAAGTTAAAGAAACAGACAGGAAAAAAAGTCGCAAGCACCTGTATGTAGGTAGGAGTAGTCAATTGCTCTGATGCACAATGAGGAATGATTTAGCAGGCAGTGGTAGTGCAGGGGACTGACAGGCAGGATTCTCTGTTCCTTCCACTGTAACCTGCTGGCAGGACTCAGCTGGTCCTTCCAGGCACCACAGGCTTTACAGCACCAAGAGGGAAAAAGGGGCCAGAATTAAAAAAAAATGACTACTCGCACCTCCATGGGAGCTCAGAACCAAGGTATATTTACGATTGTATTTGCTGTCACTGTCTGCTGTACCTTGTGACACTTTTGAGTTCTGTATTGACTCTCATTTATATATGGATCCTGTAATTATTCAGTCTTTGTCTAGCATTGTAGTTTGTGGAGTTTTATTTTATAAGAGAGTGGAGAAGTAGGCTTCAAATCTGTACAAGACAATTTGTTAGAGAAAATGGGTGCTTTTTTTGTTCGTTTGTTTGCTTTGAATCAAACAGAAAATAATGAGCTTAAAAGGGAGCAAAGATTATCCTATTGAAACTCCAGGAAAGTGAATGGAATATACTACACAGAGTGGGCTTTGGCAAACAGAACAGATGAATACCTGTAAGGAATTCATGTTCCATTTCTTGCCATTTAGAAGTGAAGTTTCCTCCTTGATTCCATTTTCTGACTGAAAATCTTTGATGGGTCCACCAACACCCATCATTAATCTAATGCACATTTCTGGAAATGTGCTTTTTTGTGTATTGTTTTGCCCTGTGCTTACCCGAAGGTGTGACTGTCGTGTCTGAATAATGTAGCTTGAAAAGGTTTCCATCTAATGCATCTGCTACTTTGGTCCTGTATACAAATGCTTATGTCTGACATCAGTGCACAAACTGTATTGGTTAGCTGGAAATCAGTATGATTAGTTTGATTTGCCCATAAGCAAGACTGTGGTGACTGGAAAAAAGGTTGGATTAAGTGCATTTGCGAGCTTCTCCTACTGTGTTTGAGATTCTTCTATTCCCTGATGAATCTGTTAACTCTAACCGCTTGTTTTGTTGGGTGGTGATAGTATTTATTACTGTGTTTATAACACAGAGCAACTATTTCTAGAACCCATTTGATGGCATTAATGGAAGCATGAGCCCTGTTCTTCTTGCTGTGTTTCAGACCGGCCGCAATGACAAGGCGCAGGAGTTTTTCCTCAAGCAGGCCTCCGAGCTCCAGAACCAGGCAGAGTGGAAGGATTGGTTTGTCCTGCCCTTCCTCCCTGCTCCAGACTCCAACCCCACGTTCGCCACCTATTTCTCCCGACAGTGGGCAGATACGTTTATCGTTTCTCTGCACAACTTCCTGAGTGTCTTATTTCAGTGCATGCATATCCTTTTCTGCAACTAATAGTTAAATCTCCCTTGCCTTGGTGTTGTGCTCACCATTAACAGTGGTGCCAAGAATATAGTATTACAGAACTTGCTGCTTTCAGGTTATTGTCTAGAGACAAGACTTAATAGGAAGCTGGTGTTTACCAGAGGATGTTGGAATGTTTATTGTTCAATTATCCGATGATGTTATATTCCCTGGGCATAAATAATTGTGGTTGTTGCTAGCTCTGAACTCATCCCTATGTTAGCGACTAGAAATCTTGTGCGCATCTTGTTCTGAAACACTTTTTCCGCTTTGCTTGGCATAGTACAAACCAGGCATGCAGCCTTGGGTCATAGTCCACAACTGAGCTAGTAGCTCCTATTAGACCCTATCACCCGAGTGATAGCTCGCTATAACAGGGTAGTTCAGTGTTGGCAGAAATAATAGGTTTTGTCTCACACTACAGAGTTCTGACCTTGTTTGTTGGCTGATTGGCAGGTTTGCGCTGCAGCTAGAGTACAGCTCATCTTGAACTGTTTCTTCAGTGTATATTAACACTGTAATAGAACCTGTTGTGTCCTTCACTTCTGGTATGTAAAAAGGAAGAATCTAAAAATCCTTGCAAAGCCTGTGTGAAATAGTGTTCTGGTTTTGGCTGGGATAGAGTTAATTTTCTTCCCAGTAGCTGGTGCAGTGCTGTGTTTTGGCTTTAGTTTGGGAGCAATGCTGATAATGTACTGATGTTTTAGTTGTTGCTAAGTAGTCTTACCCTGATCAAGGAC